ATAAGATATAGTACGTAGTTTATATTAATCTTACTTAAAATAATAAACTTCTAGCGTAACATAGAGCGCTTTTAACACTACCTAGCCTATTAGTAGATAAGTACTCTTATCTAGCTAAACAGCTCTATAAGAAGAATACTTTACCTAATCTATAGGCGTAATAATAATGTAAAAACCTTATACTATAGTATCTCTCTAGTTATTACTATAAACCTAAGTTATTCTCTTTACTAGGTATATACCTAGTATAATTATTACACTATTCTTAATATAAAAATATTACTATACGTAAATTACTTAATATTAAGTTTATAGACAAAGTACTTCTATACTTCTTTACTTAGAGTCTAGCTTAGTTAATAGAGATAATATAACTTAATTTAGTTAAGTTAATATAGATTATAGATCTAAAGCGTAGATAGACTATAATTATAAGAAGTAAGAGTAGTGTAAAGCTACGTTAGTACGTAAACTAAATAATTTATTATCTACTATAGCTATAGATAAGTAGCGTTTATTATATAAAGTTTATAGTTCTATTCTAAATAAATACTATTTTAAGACTAGTTATAACTTTAGTAAATATAACTATAGTAGAGTAGAGTTATAAAAGTACTAAGAACGCTATAGATATAAGTACTACTTTAATAGATAATCTAGTCTTTGTTATAGACCTTCTACTATAGACTATAATAATACTAGTCTTAACTTAGCCTACCTTCTAAATAGAGTTTATAAACTTTTTATAATATCTAGAACTATAGCTATTATTACTAGTAGTAATTAATTAATATAACTTCTACGTATACTTATATCTTAGTTTTATTTATACAGAGTATATTATAAAAGTAGTAAGATAGAATATAGCTAATAAAGTAAAGAGGTTCTTAGGTAAAGCTTTTAGAGTTTAAGTTACTAAAACGCGCTATAGTATAGTTAGAATAAGCGCTAGCCTAGTAGTACACTAATATTATTCTATACGTGTATTATACTATATCTATAATTAGTTATATTAGTAATATATTTATAAAACGTCTACTTAGAGTAGTATAAAACTATAAACTATATAAGGTATTAGTAGAGAATATAGTTAAGAGGTTAACTATATATTACCTATTCTACTTAATAGCGCTAATAGCTCTAAATAGTAGTTTTTATAGTATATTCTATTTAAAAGCACTAATAATAGGCTACTAAATATATACTATTTTAGAGCGCTGTCTAGTAGATATATATAAAAGTAAGTAGCTCTTATATACTAAAATAATATATATTAACTAGTAGAATATTTATAGAGAGAAGATAGATAAACTTCTATAGTATTAGTCTATCTTTATAAGTTTATAGAATCTATTACTTTTAGTATAGAGTAAAGATAGTTATAAGTATAGTATTCTATTTCTAATTATAAGTAATCTATAGAAAGATAGTATTATTAGCTACGTAGATATTAGTAGTAAAGCGTACTCTATATAAGACGCGTAAACTAATATATAGAATTTAAAGTAAGTTATTATAATAAAGATAGAAAATATATATAGATATTTAATTAGCTTTTAACTTAATATTATAGCTTCTAGAGCTAGTATAATAAATGTACTTATAGACGCAACGTGTACGTAGCACGCATAGTATTAACTCTAAAGTTAGGTATAGAGGTTTTAGACACAGCGTTATAGAAGTTAAGAGATAAGATAAGTCTTATTATAGTTACTTAGGTAGATTATATATAGGCGAACAAATAGGTTATACTTTAGAAAGAGAGTTTAGATGCGTAGATAGTAGAGAGGTTTGTTATTATAGGTATTGCGCAGATTAAGAGGTATAAGAGGATAATTAGGTAGAGTAAGACGTCCGCGGTCGGGGTTGTAGCGAACAAATAGGCGGGTGACTTGTTGTCTGGGCAGAAGGGTCGCTTAGTGTTCTCTACTATCGCGTTAACGAAGCGAAAAGGTGACGATGGAGTGACTGGACTCTAGGAGATGTGCGATCCAATTCACTATATACATGTGCATCATCTCTACTGTTACCGTAGCGGCAGAGACTTGTCCTCGGCGACCTCGCCTGCATCCTTCACCGGCACCGCCTCCGGGCTCGCAGCGGGCGTCAACCACGCCGCAGGCGCATCACTTTGCGCTGCCTTCTTCGCATCCTTCACCCTCTTGTTGACGAATCCCGGGTCAGGGCTCGCCCATTCGTAGCCAAAGCCATCACCAAGCACCTCCTGTACACCCTCGGCGAGTATCTGCACTGCCTTCCTGCGATTCCTGCTCCATTCCCACGCACGGTACCAGCGACCAGCTTGAACCGCAGTCTCCTTGCCGCCCTCCAATCCATCGAGAATGGATCGCCAAACGAGCATTGTCTTCTCCAACTCGGGAGCGCGCGAGACACCGATGACGCTGACACCCAGCTTGGAGCCGCCGACATCGTCAATGGACTCGTGTGTCCAGGGCACGCCTGATGCAGGGTCTCCGCGGGATCCGCACAGCGCGCCAGCAGATATCCATGTCTCGAGCGCGAAGCGGATGGCGATAACCTCGATGCGCTCGCCGTAGTCGTCGCAAAAGTGGCTCGCTTTGCGCACTGCCTCACGGAGGGAGGATGGGGCGGGGTGCCAGTCACCAAGGCCACCGACGGGTATGCCGTCGTGTCGGAGGAGGCCCATACCAAGGATAGAGGCGTTCGGGACGACGTCGACGCCTGCATTCTTCAGGCGCAACATGCCGCGCGGACCGGCGAGCGACTGGTTCTGGAGCGTGAAGTTGGCGTAGGACTGCACCGCATCGAGTGGCTCGCCGGTCTCGCGGAGGATGAGCTCAGCCATGTCGCCCAGCACATCCAATGGGTATCCACAGATACCAATGTACCGAACTGTGCCATCTTCGTCCCTAATGCGGCGGAGTTCCTTGACTGCTTCCAGGACCTCCGCCGGGCTCACGAACTCGACGTCGTGGCAATATACGAGGTCCAGATATTCAGTGTGCAGCCTCTCCAAACTCCGGTTGACGCTCTGGCGCACCCACTCCTTGCTGTAGTCGAACTCCTCACTCCCTGTCCGCCCGACCTTGGTCAAGATCATGTATGAGTTGCGCGGGAACGTCTCCCGGACGAACGGTGTCGCGAGCGCATCGCCGAGCAGTTGTTCGGAGGGGCCGTAGTAGGGCGAGGTATCGAAGGCGCGAATGCCATGTGTGAGCGCCGAGGTCACGAGACCAGTTGTGTCGAGCGCGAAGGGGTCGGTGTTGTATTGCGAGTTGAACGTGGCTGTACCGAAGACGAGGGGAGGGAGGATGGACGACAGCGGGGTGCGCCGGCCATTGGCGAAGGAGTATGGGATGGGCTTCTGGCGCGTGGGCAGACTGCTGACGGTTGAGGGGTGTTCGATGGGCGTTGTCGCCATGGTCGCGACTGTGCGGGCTGCTGGAAAGGCTATTGGCGGGTCGAGTACCGTCGCGTCGCTGCTGCGATGTCTATAGCGGGGTGTGTGCTTCGCGGGAGGATGTAAGCGATGCGCGCAAAGCAGGATAAGGAGTCGCGGTAGGGCTCTCGTATGTAGTCTTTCGAGTCGTAAAGCTGAGTATGCAGAACGTGGGAGAAGAGAAACAGTCGGCAGCCCGCGGTTTAGGCTCGCGCATGCCACGCTCCGAAAGCGTGAAATCTATGCCTCACCATCCACCGTTTCGGTTGTGGTAAGGCGCCGCACCGCGATGGCAGGAACAGATGGACTAACGGTCGACCCGCATGACGCCATCTGCGTCTGGAACGCGTTTCCTGGCGCTGGGGCGACGGTAATTGGTTGAGATGGAAAAGTCGAAAGGATGATTCATGGATGTTGTGTGATCAAAGAAGGGTCCACCGCTCAAAAAAGACCCTGCCTCGGCCGCCAATCGTGATTAGTGCCGAAGTATCGGGCGCGCATCTCAACATGCGAACGCCAGCACACTACTCCCGCCGGGCTTGGAGAGCTGACATGTCCGCTAGGTGGCTGCCTGGGCCGTTGCAGCGCCGTCATAAGTTTTGATGCGAGCTGCGTGCTGACTGCAGATAATGATACGGAGACGCTAGCGCAAGACATTCCGCAGCTAATCGGGCCGCGACACCTCCACAAAATGGTGCAGGCATGCGGCAGGGATGAACATCGCGGACTTCCTTTCCTGTCTTCGTTGTCTACTTCTTGATTTCGGCCTTGTTTCGCGATGATCTGGTCGCGATTACTTTGATTCGCGTTTGACTCGTTGTGTGACGCCGTCGCTTTGCCGGTAGCTGCTTTGGCTGTCTGAGCTGCTAGGTCTCGATTCTCGTTACGGGCACACCAGAATCGGTTCCATCGTGTGTCAAATTATGGTCTAGATGTTGCGCATCTGTACACTGTCAGGATACGCCTTTGCTGCAGTACAAGCAGAACGCTGCATACCTCCTCATGCACGAGCTGAACGTGTCCCGCTATCCCCATTGGACCTGATTACGTAGGCAGTGGCAGTGGCAGTGGCAGTGGCCGTCGCATGGCAATGGCCATCCTCGCGCCCTCATCATCCCCACCATCGCGTTCTTATTGAAACCAGACAGCGCGACAATGCGACAGCGAATGGCCGCCCAGCGACTGTTCAGCCTGGAGAGGCGCGCAGATGTTTGATGTCGCTGAACGGTACGTGAGCGAGGAGCTGAATGACTGAGTTGCACGCAGCTTCCCAATGTAGCCCGCTGCTGCTCCCAACAGTCACTCTCCTCCTATGAGACGCCGAGCTCGAGTCGGGAGTATATTGCTCGGGCGCCCCCTTCTCTCCATAGGTGATACCTCTTTTCGGCCCCCCGCCACCAACGCATGCATCGTGAGGCTGAACCATGCTTACCCGAGGCCGCCTTGGTGCTGCCGGCTTCGAAGGCGAGGATGGCTTATGCTATAACTCCGATGCTTGCCTGCATCATCTCGCAAAATTCACCTACGACTTCGTTCTTGGCCTCGTGGCGTTCGCAATACCGATTCCCGTTGCCGCACAATGGCGACCAGAATTGTGCAACCAAGCACATCCACTGATCTCGGTCGACTATGGAGAGGCGCTATACGAGACTACAAAGAACGTACCGGTGAGGATCTTTCGACGATGGCAGTGGGAAACGTCACCGACGTGATGCGACAAACGACTGTGGTCATGAACGAGTTCAAAGGGTTTCGCGATGACGGAACCAAAAAGGCAAACTTTCGATCGGCGATGGGGGATCATCTTGGTAACCTCCAGACTTGCATTGACGGCTTTGCTGCAGTCGGGGCCTGTGTCAGTGCTTTTCCTCCAGCGATGCCTGTGGGACTCGTGTTCACTGCCGCCAGCCGCATAATTTCCGTGAGTAGTCAGCATCGTTCTATGATACCGTGTTGAAGTGAGATAGGCATTTGCAGGCGTCCGAGCAGACTACGATCGTGTCGAGGAGTTCTTCGCATACTCAGCCCGTTTCTTCCAACGACTGTCAATCCTCGAGGACAAAGCACAGTCCGGTCCGCTTGCTATTGCTGTTGAGAGGGTCTTCTCCATGCAGCTCTCGGTATGCGGCAGAGCACGACAGCTGATAAAGGAGAAACGATTCAGTGAGACAACGGCTCTGATGTTGAGAAGGTGCTAATATTTGGCAGAGCATTGGCTCAAAACCTTGTGGAACGAGGTAGATGAAGAGCTGATAGCAGCATATGCTGGAATGCAGGCCTCGATACAGGAACTCAACGAAACGATTACTTACGAAACCTACGGCGCTCTTGTGGTCGTTCAAACAGGGGTGGTCGCTAATAGTTCTAAGTTAGACGAGCTTGATGAGAAGCTACAATCCTACCGTTCGAGCCTGGACAAAGGTATCCAGGAAGTCTACGCAAGCACGATCAGTCTACATCTCATCATCACCGAGGGGATCGTTACCCTACGAAATGAGCGGTTAGAAGATCGTGCTCTGCTTCTGCAGATCATCAAAAACCAGGATAAGACGACCAGAGCCCCGGAGATTGAGGAAAAGAAGAAGCTCGCTCAAAAGCCGAAGGGTGACATCGGAGATCGGAAGTTCCAAGCGTTGCGAGAACTCAAGAAGTTCTTCGCCGACAAGCACGATGTCTTCCCTTCGTGGCAGGATGCTCACCAAGAGAACCTGCTCCAAGACGAAGATTTGCGCGATTCCAAGGTAAGCAAAACGGCCGGATGGCTTCATGAGCATGCGAGCTTCAAGAGTTGGGTAAGTGGAGGAGTTCCTCTCCTTTGGTTACGAGGCACCGAGGGGATTGGAAAGTCATTCCTAGCCTACTCGGCCGTCCAAGAGCTGCGTCTACGTCAAAACGAGCACGACTGCTTGGCCTACTTCTATTTCAAGGAGGAGCATCCATACCAACAGTCAATGCAAAACGCGTTCGCTTCGGCTGCACTACAGATTGCCGGATCAAATAACAGATACGCCGAACAGGTAGCGGCCAAGATCAAGCAAGAGTCCAGTGAGTCCGCAGCAATGTCAACCTGGGAGAGGTTCTTCCTCTCGGTGTTTCCAAGTGATAACAAACTCGGTGGTCGCCTTTTCCTTGTCTTCGATGGACTAGACGAGGCGCACGTGCAAGAAGGTGGAACCTTTACGCGGTTTCTGTCGGATCTCAAGCGCCTAAACGCCAGTGTGTCAGTCTTTGCGACAAGCCGACCAGAAGACAAGCCCACACTGCAACTGCTCCAGCCTTCGATCCTCGACGTCACTAAGCATGAAATAAAGCACGATTTGAAGATACTGGTGAAGGACCGTCTTCGCACACTGCCGCGCCTGCGCAAGTTCACCCAAACTACCAAATCAGCAATTCGTCGCGAAGTAGTCAAACACGCAGACAGTATGCTCTACGTCGAGCATATGCTTAGGAGGTTCTCTTACATAGGTCGAGAAAGAGCCGTTCTGCAAGCACTGGGGAAGATGCCTCCAAACTTGCATGGACTTTACGAACTTCTTTTGGACGAGTGCCGACAAAATCGATCCGAAGCGCAATACCAGGCGATGAAGAAGTTATTCGCGTGGCTAGCGTTCTCGAAACGATCGCTTAGCCTCGGCGAGGCATCGAGCTTGGTTCAACTCGCACTGTCCGACGACAGCTTCGACATCGAAGAGGAGATCATCGGACGTTCCTCTCGTATCCTCGAACTTACCCGATCACGGCAGCCAGAGGACGATATAAAGGACGATGACAAAGAGGATGACGAGATCGATGAGCCAATAGACGAGGGCATACCAGAGCTCGGGTACGGAGACTCCCCTCTCTGCTTCCAGGATCGGTCACTGCGGGAATACTTCAAGAGCGTGAGTGTCGAAGATGACGGTGTAACGGAATTTCGGACACCTGCCACCGCTGCGCACCTAACAATTCTGAAGATGTGCGTGGCTGTGATGATGAAAGCGGCCCGAGGAATCGAAGAGCAAAGCTCCGGGCTCACAGTATATGCCATCAGCTATTGGTATGAGCATCTCAAGGAGCTGGACGCGGATAACGCGACCCCAGAAGTTGTTCACGATGTTGTAACACTCCTGCACTGCATCACGGCCAATTCATACAACGTCGCCAAGTTATTCGAACAGCTAGCGCGACATACAGACATATATCCCGAGCGCGCTGACGAAGTGCCTATCGCTTGGTTCGATACGCTTCTGAGTTGGACAGCCAGGTCATCAAGCCTACTAGTACAATTTTCGGATAGTAAAGTCAAGAAATGGACGACCGTGGTCCGTAAAGACAACGTTCTGCTTCGGCTTGCTCGCGGTCATGTCCACAATTGGTTGGACGCCAACGACGATTATTGGATACCCGAGAGATTCAGATTCGTCAGGGCCGCGTTGTCCCTCGTAAGCCACTCCTCATACGCAACGACTTCTCTAATGCGCTGTAGTCATTCCCTTTCGAAATCAATGAATCCAATGAACTTGGGCCACTTGAATACATGAAGGCCATCATAAAGAGATACAAGATTCTACCTGAAGACTACAAGACACTACGGGCTATTGGGTGCACTCTAGCTGACCACGGTTACGCAACGTGCGATGATGACGATCGCGGAGTAGCAATGATCAAGGAAGCTAGCGTGTATCTCACGAGAGCAGTAGACTGTATGCGGGGAGACGTTCTGGACAACGTCGCTACAGTTCGCCTACTTGCGTCAGTATGTGGTCGATGCAACCAGTCATCCGACGCGGTAAAGCACTACGAAGAAGCCTACAACATGCTACCCGATCACGAGGCCGATGAATCTTCTGAACAAGAGCTGGATCAGATCAAGTCAATACGTGTAGCGATCCTTATCGAGAAAGCCTCCGCCCTTTCAACGTTGGAGCAGACCGACGAAGCTTTGCAAGCATTCAATGAGGCGAGAAGATTGCAGGGCGAACAACCACTCGCTGGGACCATTCTGGACGACATAACGCGACTCTTTCCGAATGAGGACGAGGCCCATAGGCGAAGGCTAATGGAGATCCTCAAGAGCTGGACTGAGAAGGAGCGCGATAGCTTCTTCACGTTCAATCTCGAGGATTATGTAATGGAGCGTACGGTGAAGCGCGTGCAAAGGGCAGCGATGCTGTGCAACGAGACCGACCTACTCATCGGCTGGCTGAAGAGTTTAGCCAACACCCTTCCGCCACAAAGCCTACATTTGTTCAACATTCGAGGCGCGGTGGCAGACATCTACTACCCAATGTTGGGCGATATCGAGAACGGCAAGAGACTACGTCAGGAGCTCCTAGCTTTGAAGACAAAGCCCGATCTTGACTATGAAGACTCTATGAATGAGGCAAAGACGCGCCACCGAATGGACCTGGCAGACATCTTGTTCTGTGAGTTCCAGATGACTGCCGATCCAACGAGAAAAGAGGCCATCATGGGCACCTTGAGAGATCTACCAAGCGCCCACGACAACGATGACGACAACAAGAACATTCGAGAATCCCATGTCGATATGCTCCGCGCAAATATGCTTCGGATCATGGGCCCTGCAAAGGAATATGAGAGGTACATGAAGGAACTGTTCAAGAAGTGTGTTGCCGGTCTTGAAGACAGCATCTCGTGGAACGACTCGTCAAGTCTGCGACTACTAGCCAAGGTCTTGGCATCTTTGGACAGCTTAGAGTCTGATGCAAGAATCGCGATCAGCACCCAGTTTTCGATCCTCGACCTTGCGATCTATGGACGTCATCCTGAACCGGAACAGTCGGAGACACGTTCCGACGAGAGCGACATCGAAGCTGGTGCAGAACAAGAGCTAGTGAAGGAAGAAAGCGAAACGTTTAACGAAGGCGACGTTATTCGGAACGATTCCCTGACGGATGAAGCACATGATGCTGAAAGCGAGGATCTTCCGGAAGAGCCGATTGAGGAGAAGCAGGATCCTACAGAGCCGGGAGAACAGGATGTGCCTGAAACAGAGTCCGCCGATCAAACGGAATCCGATGAGCTTGATGAAGACGTGTTCCTAGGTGGAGGTCTTGGCTGCGACGGACCATGCGAAACGAACATCTCATCGTGGACTCAGCCAATCTACTACTGCCTCATCTGTCCGAACTGCGACCTTTGCGAAGAATGCCACTCCAAGCGCGTCCAGCAAACGAAGGGAGTGCAACCAGCGGGAGACAAGACCGAAGAGCCATGGCTTAGCTTCTGCGGCGCGAACCATCGCTACATCAAAGGACCGATGAAGGGTTGGAAGGGCGTCAAGAATGGCGTTATCCGGTATGGAGATACGGAGATTTCCGTAACGGACTGGCTTCGAGGGCTCAAGGAAGAGCGGTGGCCGAATGCTTGGAGGATCTTTTGGACGAGGCAGGGAGGGTTGAAGGATATCGGGGTCGAAGATTGAGGTAGATGTATGACCAAGATCCATATCGCACTCTATGATAGCATTGCAATCTCCAACGTGGAAGGCATGTAATCTTCTTTTTGTTTCTAGCATATATATCTCATGCATTCAATACCTCCGTTCGATACTTGGTTTCACCCAATGCGGCCCCTCTGCACACGTCTTTCCAAAGTTCAGAGCGTCCATATTCGTCCTATCCCAGCCACTAACGTACTTTATGTCCTCTGGGTCATGATAACCATCCGGCTGCTTCGCACGACTAATGTACAAGGCCTTGGCAAAGTAGCAATATCGTCCATGCCAGGTGTACTGCATGCATTTATCATGTTCAGAACACCCAATCCTGCAAGCATCGAGGCTCGTGTGCACTGTGGAGTTGTTTGGGAGCTGGAATCCCGCGTCGAAGGCTGCGTCCCAGTTCTCGCGCTGCGGATATTCGCCTTGCAAGGCGGAGAGCAGGGCGCGGTATATTAGGTTGCGATAGCGCATGAGAAGGTCGCTCTTTGCTTTCCATTCGTTCTCCCATGACTAGAGCTCTTTGTAGAGGGCTGGGGCGGTTTTGTGTAGGCTGATGACGGGCTCGCACCAGTGGTCCTCACCGAAGGGGATATTTTCGAGTCTATGGGGGCTGAACATGGGTCATAGACCGCTGATGTCTATCCCGGCTTTGTCGTGCAGCGCCCACCACAACAATCGGCTCTGATGTCTTCTTTGTATTCCGTAGTGAGACGAGGACCTTTGAGGCCAATGGCGTTGCGCGGGCGATCAACGAGTCTATGCGCAGCGGCTTGGGAAAGTATGAAGCCGGCGCCTCCGTATGCGAACCAGACTTGTTTCTTCACGTCAGGCTGCGCGTCAGAATGGTACGTTCTTCCGGGTGAAGGCGATCCAAAATATCAAGGCAGCGAGGTAATGTAGTCCTCCAAAAGACGGAAGACATTGTCCCAGAAGATGTATGTGTCGCTCTCAAGGAAGACGTACCACTCAGCCGCCTTGTTGTGATCAATCGCCTTTTCCACTTCCGGTAAGAACTTGTACTTGTCAATTCTCCACCCTTCATGACCCTGCTGTAGCTTCGTGCCCTGGCGACTTGCGTTCTTTTGTGTCTCGTAAACAACGTAGTCCTCTGGTGTCAGGTACGTGTTCGGTGGCAGGTCTGCGAGAACGTCGATAGTTCGATGGTCGCGACCGTAGGTATGATTGCCATCTGACACGATTAAGACATTGGAGATGCACTTAATGACTGTTGAGAGTTGAGCATCCGTTCGTGATTTGTCGTCTGCTGATCCGGTCTTCAGTATGACCTGAACCTTCGAGAGCAGATGCACTGGGAAGAGAGCTCATTCGTCCGTGGAGCCGTCCCGCCATTCAGACTATTTTATCTTTCTGAACTGTGTTGTAGTATTCCAAGTCCAGAAGTCCAGCCCATTGTCGCCTTGTGAGTTGGCTCCATGTAATAGCGGCACGAATGGCTTAGGATGGAAGGCTTGTTTCCCTAGGATATCGCTCGGTAGAGATTCGATGTAAGCCCAGTCGAAGAGAACGAGAAATTCGACTCCGATGGCTATGCCAATGAATGCGAACAGCAGCCGAAGGGTGCGCCCGGTGGCCAAAGACCTGACACTGGGTAAGAAGCGGCGTGAGCCTGTAAGCATACTGGAGATTTTGTATAGGCGTCGCGTCACAACACTCTACGTCATATCGAGTTCGTCGAAAGCAAAGATACGCCAGGAGTCTGGCACTGGATGTGCGAACGTCGAAAGATCGCAGCGCGTATGGGTGCACATGCTTGTCGCATTGCTGGCCCGACATTGGATGGCGACACCATGACACCTCAGGCGCCCTCTTTGGGGTGGTCGCCTTACCTGACACCCCTTCCAGCAGGATTGCGCCGTGAGACAGGGTGGTGTCAGTTAGCGAGGTTTGCCTGTTGTGATAACAACGACGACGCTACCCGCGCCTAGCTGAATCGGACCCGGGCAAGCAGCCCTCCGTGTCTCCGTCGCGGCTCTCAAGCTCCTCACAACCTGGAAGTGCGCTCGTACATCCGAACAATCGCCATTGTTGTCGACTGATTATTCTAGCATGATGCGCGACGGTAGTCTTTATCGCGAGGAGCGTATCAAGATCATTGCGCAACCACTTCGGGCGCGGGGCGTGGGGCGCGAATGCAGACGCTTGGTGGCTGAGCAGATGCCGTTAGGCAACCACGGTGTTGGAACAATGCATGAGACGAGCCAGTGGAAGACCAGTGCAGGATTTGCGCGAGAACAATATTGGAGGCCATTCGTCTGATGCAGATCGCACATGCAGCGTGGGTGGCACAGTCCGTTCGTAAGGCTCAGCTGTTGTCGCTTCGCCTGCATTGCTTCAACACCAGCGACGGGCAACAACACCTGCGCATCTCGCGCTCGAAGGAAGACGGCAAACCTATCTGCGGTCCTCAAACTCCAGCACAAATCGCAGCTGCGTAACGAATGCTCGACGGCTCTAGCCCCAGGGGGCTGCTCTCTTCGCGAAGGAATCGAGCGATGTTCGGCTCACACCAATCAAACGGCCTCAGACGCGCCGCGACCGTGAGGCGAGGGGACAGGTGCAGAACAATCGACAGCGGATATGTTGAAGCACCCGACAGCGTATGCGACGGTCGCATAAAGCGCATCGACTTCCAGGAGGCGAAGCATTGGATATCGCATTGCGTGTCATCGCACCCCAGATGCGAAGCACCTGCACAATCAACGCTAATTGACCTAAAGGTGATTGATTGTCGCTACAGGGAAATTGTCCCGAGACCAAAAGGCCACGTCTACGTCGCACTCTCCTATGTTTGGGGCAAACCAACACTAGAAGATACTGTGCAATGTTCGCAGCTATCAAAGGAGCTCCCTCGCACTGTGGAAGATAGCATCAAGGCTACCCTGAAGCTCGGCTATAGGTACCTCTGGATAGACAGATATGTACGCGGGTTCAGCTATCATCCCACGCAGAAGCTGATCGAGACAGTGTATTGACCAAAACGATAGTGTGGCTCAGCAACACCAAATTCATCAGATGGGAGCTATCTATCACGAAGCACAAGTAACGCTCATTGCAGCAGCTGGTACAGACGCTACCTATGGGCTCCCGGGGTTGACTCACGATCTTAAGAATTCTTGTTCCTGCACAGTCTCTAGGACCGTGCGTCAGTTCCATACCAAAGGGTCGGCGATCCAATCGATCATAGATTCTACGTGGTACACTCGAGGATGGACTTTTCAAGAAGGATTCATGTCAAGGCGACGAATGTACTTCACGGATGTCGGTGTATTGTACGTTTGTGACGAGGATCGCCATAGTGCGTCACTCGTCAACATTGCTGCCTCCCTGCGCAATACTTCGGAATCATCGTCTTTTCGCGACAACGAGCAAATCATGCGTGAGTACACGCGGCGCAATCTTACACACGACCACGATGCGCTTAATGCTATCGTTGGCGCGCTCGAGACACAGTCCGAGTATCACATTTGGGGGGTCAATATCTCGCAAAACATCGACGGCACATGCGTATTTCTGCACTGGAGACACTCGTCTCCTGTTCCTAGACGCGAAGAATTCCCTAGCTGGTCACCTATTGGCTGGCGCGGTCAAGTGGACTATTCTCATCATAAACCCCCCTTTTCGTATGATTGTAGGATTGAAATCTGGCAAGATGGAATCTACAGACCTCCCGCACAACGCTTCACCGTTTCGCGACGATCAAAGCACATAGCTGAAGGCCAGCAATCTAAGTTCCTGAAAGTCACGGCGACAATGGCGATGCTTGAGTTCGAATACATCAAGGACCGGCATCGTGCTAATCTTTATGCCAAAGTCGCGTATAGTTCAACGCTGTATCTCTATGTCTTGCCCTCTTGGGATGCCGATCTCGCAGTCATTTCAGGTCCAGGAAAGAGAAATATCAGGCTACCGTGCGTTATGATTCGCCTACAGCGTCGTACCACATGGGGCAAGGACGCACGCCCAACCTTTGCGAACGAGATGCAATCTCTCATCTTGAAGCAACACGACGCGTATTATGAACGCGTTGGATGTTTCTCCTGGGACGAAGATATCACGAAGACGTTTGCTAGAGATCAGCAAGGCCAAGAATTCGTGCATCACGAACTTCGGCACCAACTGCGTAAACATGGAAACGGTACATTCTGGCTCAGGGACGGTTTCAGGACCACTTTCCTTTTAGGTTAGTCGAACAAAGTCGTCGCGAGAAAACATGAATACTAGGCACACATATCGATTCGAAATCGTGGACGTTGACTATGCATCTTGTTTCCGTTTGGCGGCGTCAGAGGTCGTTCTTCATTAACGAGCCACTCAGACTGCGCAGCCAGTGCTACACAACTTGTCACCGTCGCGCAAACTCCCCAAAGAGTCCAATTATCCGCTCTGCTAATTCGTTTTCATTACCACACCTATCAATATTAGCGTCAGCACTCTCACAATGAACGCCTCAACGTCACTAACGTTCGCACTAGAGTCTCTGGAAGCTGAACATGCATCCATTCAGGCTCGCCCGCTAGCAATGCAACTACCATCTTATCTGCGGCTAATCAATCCAAAGAGACTGGATGTGGGCGCGAAGACTTACCGGACCCGCATCGCAATACATGCTGATTGTTCTCACGGGCATAATTGAATTGTGGCATCGATCTGGGGTTATCAACCCATGACAGAGGCGTGAGTGTGGAGTTCCCGGTGTCGCTCTCTATGACACCCATAGATCAGTCTGTACCCCTGATCTCTACTGACCAAGCGGACACCCATTATATTGAAGACTGCGGCGTCTTTGAACTCACCGAGGCGCACTGGATACGTGTTCTCAGGGTTAGGGTCGTACCTGTTATAAGGGATGATGAAGCGACCGTTGACCTCAATGATGAATGCGTTAGGAAGGTCACGATTACCCATGTTGGTGATCTTCTGGAGATGTGGCCGTCGGGTAAGGATTGGAAGAATCCGATGCGGGTGTGAGCATGAGAATCGGAAGCTTGGGTGAGCAGTCTTTATGCACTTGATGTGCCTGCATCATGTCCGCCAGCATCCAGGGAGGCAGTGAATTTATCGTCATGTGTGATGCGCACCGTTTTGCGTAGAGTCTTCTTGTCTCACAAGCCTCCGGCGTCTCTTCACTATTCGGGGTGGCCGATACGTGGATATGTCTTGGTGCCGTCGCAGCGCAAGACAAAGAGAACAAAGAACTGTCGATTAGGACCGTCGACCGTGGATTTATTCATAGCGCGATGTAGTATCCAGAGGAGACTAGTGCGGGCGGCATGTAAGCACGAGTGCATGTCGTGCATCGTCAACTCGGACATATATAAGACGATTCGTCGACTAGCTCCGGATGAATAGAAGCTACAGAAAGCACGTCTGCGTATATGCTCGGGTCGGGTCGCAACGAACTGGTGGCTGGTACTGGTGATCATGAACGACGTGTCGTGTTCGAGGTGCCACCTCGGCATGGTCGAAGACCATGAACATGATAGGCGCGGGCACACAAGTCCCAAACCCCGCGACGCAAGATCTTCGGGAGCAATACGATCGTGACCAACCGAAACAAGTTGGGAGCGGTGAAGTTTAGAGCTGCAGACGTTACGTGATGCAGGTGCGCTGTTGACGATGACGACCATGCTCTCTCGCTTCGTGAACTGCAAGCCCTTTCCTTTGTTCTTGCGCCTCTTCCCCAGTCGACACACGTCGCATAAAGAGACTATGTTCTCCATAACGTAATCCTCTACCAAAACACAGCTGTACGCGTTGCAACCCACACAAGCAACCATCAGGACTAGCTGTTTGCACTACGAAACAAGAATGCGTCTTCTGATCGACGCGGTCGCTACACGATAATCATGCTGCCCATGCGACTGGAGCATCAATTCATTCTGAGCTCAGCACATACGAATCAGCCGATATACGATGGACCGCACCCTTTTTGCGTTACCAACAACACTAGTGATGCTATCCCCTCCTGACAACAGCGCATCGCGAGAACACCCTCTCGCAGCCGCTACTCCTTCGTCTCCACCCAATGCAACTTCGTCCCCGGTCCTAACAGCGTTAATTCACATCCCGCACCCAACACCTTCAACAAAAGCCTTACTTACCAATGATCATCGTAGGCGGACACGCATACAACCTCGTCCTCCCATCCTCATCTAACAGCGCCCCAAGCGGGAACTCTACACGAAAGTCAGCCATCTCGCCATCTCGCCATCTCTCCACACGGCTCAGCACCGCCAACATACCAAAACACTCAAGCTCAACCCCATCCCCCTCCCCCGTATACTGAAACGACTTCACCCGATCAAACTGCTCAGCCCAATACATAGGCATGGCCTCAAACTTATCTTCCTCATCCAACAAACGGCCTAGAGCGAGTAAAGTCACACCGCTGTTACAGAGCAAGAGCCCATTTTGCAGCGTGAAGATTGCTGCTTGGTTGCGGTCTCCCATGCTCGCTGGACTCTTTTCCTCCCGCTGGGCCGCAAGATTGGCGGTGCCGGTATCGTCCACTTTACTGACGAATTGACCGTTGAGTTCGATGAGGAAGCGGCGGGTTAGGTTCGTGTTTGGCATGATTGTGATGTTGTGAGGGATGGAAGAGAGGAAGTGATGCATCATTGCTGGTAGCCGAGGGTACTTTATACGTCTTCGCCTGGTCGTACAAGATACGAGGCTAAGAGAACATCGCATATACCCTATTCTGTGATGCCGCAGCACATGACACTCCATTGGGCTCAACGAGCTGTCGTGAACCAAAAGCAACGACAGGCGCACGTTTATTGTATACGTGGTACAGACTATGCAAGCCAAGGTGGACATACCTCAACGGCCTATCTCACGAAAGCCATCATCACTAGTCCGGCTACCTAGACCCGTTCGCACTAATAACAATACTTCAACCCGAGCTTCTCCGCATTATGACATTGTACTTGAATTGGTATCACCTATATACACCCTCTCACACGTACCTTTCTACAACTTCGCAAACACCGTCGGCACAGCTCCACCCATCTCAACAAGCGTACTCTTATTCCTAACCCAAGCCTCAAGCCCCTTCTTACCGTTCTCCACACCAACACCACTCTGCTTCCAGCCACCGACGCTCATCTCCGCCGGACTCTCACCCCAAGTGTTCACCCATGTGATACCCGCTTCGAGCTGAGCGATAACCTTGTGTGCCAGGTTGAGGTCCTTGGTGAAGACACCCGCCGCAAGACCGACATCGGTGTTGTTGGCGCGTTGGACGACTTCCTCGACGGTCTTGTATGTAAGGATGGACATGACGGGGCCGAAGATTTCTTCGCGCACAATCTTCATGTCGTCGGTGCAGTTTGTGAAGACGGTGGGTTGGACCCAGTAGCCGTTTTGGTAGGCTTTGTCGTTGTGCGATGAGACCCATGATGGGGTTTCGGGACCGCCGCAAAGCATCTTCGCCTTGTCGTTGTCGCGGCCGTGCTTGATGTATTGTATGACCTTCTCGTAGTGCGGCTTTGAGACTAGCGGGCCGAAGTTGGTGGCCATGTCGTGGAGGTTACCTGGGCGGATGTATTGCATCTTCGCCAATAGTCGCTTCTCGAATTCGGGCTTCATGCCTTCCGGGATAAAGACTCGTGTGCCGTTTGTGCAGACCTGTCCTGTTGAGAAGAAGTTGGCCAGCATCGCGCCGTCGACTGCCTGGTCCACGTCCGCGTCTGGAAGGATGACGCATGCCGACTTGCCGCCGAGCTCCATTGTCACGTACTTCATCTCGCCGGATGCGCTGCCTGCGACCTTCTTGCCTGTCGAGACTTGTCCGGTGAAGCTAACCTTGGCGATGCCGGAGTGCTTGGTGAGGTATGCGCCGACCTCACCGCCACCCTGGACGACGTTGAAGACACCCGGCGGTACACCAGCTTCAGCGTATATGTCTGCCAGCACGGTAGAGTGGAGTGGTGTGAATTCGGAAGGCTTATAGACCATGCAGTTGCCCGCAGCCAGACAGGGCGCAGACTTCCACAGCGCAATCTGGATGGGGTAGTTCCATGCGCCAATGCCCGCACATACGCCCAGCGAGTTCTTGGTCGTGTATACCCACGCATCTGGTCGCAGCTGTGCCGTCTCGCCGTTCATGCCGCCTCCGCCTACGAGGTTCGCAAAGTATTCGAGGACATCGGCGCCGGTGACTACATCTACGGTCGATGTCTCAGAGAAGGGCTTGCCGGTGTCGCTGGTCTCGATGCGGGCGAGTTCGTCATTGCGTGCGCGGAGCAGGGCCGCAGCTCGTTGAAGAATGCGCGCGCGCTCGATGGGTGGTGTCGCGGACCATGCGGGGAACGCCCGTTGCGCCGAGGCTATCGCAGCGTCTATGCCAGCGTTGGAGGTTGTGTGGATGTTTGCGACGGGTTGGGCGGTTGCGGGGTCAATGGTCTGGAAGGTGGAGGTAGATGAGCCTGACTGAAGCTTGCCATCGTAGTAGGCGGATCTAGGCGCATATGGGAGAGACATGGTGAGTGGCTTGTGGGCGCAATGGATAAGCCTGGCGTTGCTTCTGGTGTTGACGCGGAGTCGCAAGAGTTTGGTCGCCACGATGGTCACGATGAGCGAAATGTACCGGGGAAATCTTTATGCACAGTTTGATCTGCGCGTGTCAGCCAAGTGGTTAAGATTGGCGCGGTGATGTAACGTGAACGAACATTTGTATGGGCGATAGCGGATGCAGCTGTTGCGCCTCTACTTCCTTTCACGATCAGTAATCCTTCGGAACGTCGCCGAGCAGTACGTCAGCTGAGGGATATGCAAGGGGTGCGAGCAAGATAGAGAAAGCAGCAGCGCGCGCTTTTCAGCGGGATGGCGTCGTTTCCTGTCGCGCCTGCTGTCTGGCACAAAAACGTCGCTCCGATGGCTGCCGCCCTCACCGCCTAGCGATCGGGGAAGGTGCGGCATCGACCGACAGGGATGGCCAGCTCGGAAGCTGCAGCCCAGAGGGGTCGCGCTAGGCCCAACGCGCCCATCACATCATCGGACGCTTTTACGACGTCTTTTTTCTTTCACTGGGAACCACGGTTACCACATCCACGTCGTCGCCAACATTATTATAGTCGTTGTTGGACGCAATTGATCAATCACAGTTACTACCTGCTGACAGCGTATGAGTTTTCACTACTTCGGCCCATCGCCTCTCCTTCCTCGCACCCGTCGCAACATCGCCATCCTGAGGCGTTGGTTGAGCACGTGCACGCGTCCGGTCCAACCGTAAACGGCCCTATTTAGCACAGTCTTATCTGGAAGGCGAACGACATATCTTGCAGCGGCGCACGACTCTCCATTCCCCAGCCTCATCGCCAGCTCACTTTTGCTGCTCCGACCTTCTGCCGACCGCCCGATCGCGACGCCCGGCCCATCTAGACAACATCGTCTCCTTCGAGCGATAGTCCGGTTGGATATATAAGCTTGCCCTGACGTGAAAAGCTCTCTTTAGCAGAAGTATATTCTCGCCATCACCCACCCCAAGCCCACCACCCACACGCAACAATGGCTTTCGAGACCGTGACCTCCATCCCCAAGGATGCCGAGTATGACTTTGTCATTGTCGGAGGCGGCACAGCGGGCTGTGTCATCGCCTCGCGACTCACCGAATACCTCCCCAACAAGAAGGTCCTCTTGATTGAGGCCGGCCCAAGCGACTTCATGGACGACCGTGTGCTGCTGCTCAAGGACTGGCTCAACCTTCTCGGAGGCGAGCTCGACTACGACTACGGCACCACCGAACAGCCCAACGGCAACTCTCACATCCGACACTCACGTGCAAAGGTCCTCGGTGGCTGCTCATCACACAACACCCTCATCTCCTTCAGGCCGTTTGAGTACGACTGCAAGCGATGGGAAGCACAGGGCTGCAAGGGCTGGAGCTTCAAGACCTTCATGCGCGTGCTTGACAACCTGCGCAACACTGTCCAGCCTGTCCACGAGAAGCACCGCAACCAGCTCTGCCTCGACTGGATCGACTCGTGCTCAACCGCCATGGACATTCCCGTAATCCACGACTTCAACCACGAAATCAAGACCAAGGGCGCTCTCAAGCCCTCCGTCGGTTTCTTCTCCGTATCATACAACCCCGACGATGGCCGCCGGAGCAGCGCTAGTGTCGCCTACATCCACCCCATCCTCCGCGGTGAGGAGAAGCGCGACAACCTGACTGTTCTCACCAACGCTTGGGTCAGCAAGGTCAATGTCAAGGGCGACAAGGTCACCGGCATCGACCTCGCACTCCAAAGCGGCGAGAAGTTCACCCTCAACCCCAAGTGCGAGACCATCCTCTGCGCAGGCGCCGTCGACACCCCGCGACTGATGCTCCTCTCCGGCCTTGGACCCAAGCAACAACTCTCCGACCTCGGCATTCCTGTCGTAAAAGACATCCCCGGTGTTGGCGAGAACCTGCTAGACCATCCCGAGAGCATCATCCTCTGGGAGCTCAACAAGCCCGTACCCGCAAACCAAACTACCATGGACTCTGACGCTGGTATCTTCCTGCGCCGCGAGATTCCCAACGCGGCAGGCGGTGACGGCGACATTGCCGACATCATGGCTCATTGCTACCAAATCCCGTTTTGCCTGAACACCGCTCGGTAAGCCCAACAACCCCACATTTCCGCGCTGCAACTAACATGATCACCAGCATGGGTTACGACTCCCCCATCGACGCATTCTGCATGACGCCCAACATCCCCCGTCCCCGCTCCCGCGGCCGCATCTACCTCACCTCCGCCGACCCCACCGTCAAACCCGCGCTCGACTTCCGCTACTTCACCGACCCCGAAGGCTACGACGCAGCCACCATCGTCGCTGGTCTCAAGGCCGCCCGCGAAATCGCCAAGCAAGCACCTTTCTCCAACTGGATCAAGCGTGAAGTCGCGCCTGGCCCGAAGGTCGTCACCGACGAGGAGCTCTCCGAGTACGGTCGCCGCGTCGCACACACTGTATACCACCCCGCTGGCACAACCAAGATGGGTGATGTAACAAAGGACGAGATGGCCGTTGTGGACCCCGAGTTGAAGATTCGCGGTCTCAAGAGCGTCAGGATTGCGGATGCGGGATGTTTCCCCGAGATGCCCACCATCAACCCCATGTTGACTGTGCTGGGTATTGGTGAGCGCGCCGCGGAGTTGATTGCGCAAGAATGGGGCTGGAAGGGTCTCCAGAAGGAGAGGTTGTAGACGCGCATCGCATTTCAAGAGAAGTGTGGCGGTGGGTAGATATGTGTTGGTAAGATAGATGTGACTTGATAAGATAATGAGTGACGACTTTGAACGGTCACCCCAATGCGACAATACCCTTTGCAGCAAGATATCATGTATGGATTCGTAAGTGACTCATGTGCATGTGTCAGCAGATTGGGGAGGATACGAGTGTTCGTGACGGTCCGACTTGATCGTTGTGTGTCTGAAGAGCTCGCCGTTTCTCTTGTTTGCGCATTACTGCTCGACCCACCAGATTGACGGAAGGGTAAGTTATATGGATGCGCGAGCTAGGAGGCACGTCTGCTAGTGACTTTAGCGTCCGCTGACTTGTGCCTATAGTAGGCCTGGCTGCGCACACTGTTGTTCATGGCAGGAACGATTGTTGCGATGTTTAGCGAGCCTACTCGAACAGTGGATATATCATCATCCTCAGCATCACATCAAAAGGACGAGAACATCAGAAGGTCAACGGTGGGGAAGTAGGTCTCACGATCAACAAACAACGCACTGAAAAGTAGCAAATGACGTCAAATTCCATCTTCAATCTACACTACCCTTCCCCCTTCCCCTGTCTCCCCCCTCCGCCCCCTCCGCCCCTATTCCTATCCCTACACAGTCAACGTATAAGTAACACTATCACATTTCCCATTAACAATCTGCCGATCACCACTCGCCAACTGCAGCAATCCCCTCCACGTCCCGCCATGCTGCATGTTAAAACACGCCTGGTTGATGTTGTTGTTCGTCATAAATTCTAGGCCGCGCGTCACGGCGTCTTTCATGGTTTTGACTTCGGCGGTTGTGTCGCAGTTTTTTCCGGTTGTTGCCGCGTGGTATTGGTAGTTTACGCTGGGGAAGTGATGCGTTAGTTGCTGGTTATTATGTACTTGGGGAGGAAGAGGGAGGATGTTGGATGTTGAGGTGGTAAGGGGGGAGAGGGAACGTACCCGTCAACAGCGCCAGAGATGACACCACAAGTGTTGGCCTCGCTTTGCGCCTTCATGAGGTTCGAAACGTAAGTCGCAATCGCGTTCACGTTGAGCGCGACCATGGAGCCTGCGCCCAGAATGGCGATTTGCTCTTCGATGGTGAGGCGTTTGGCAAGGTCGTCGCTGGAGTGGAGTGTTAGCAGGCAATTGGAGGAATGGTGTGGAAAGAGACTTTTGCGTCGTACGTACCTAGACTGTGTCTCCTCGCTCAATGATGGCAGAGCCTCCCGCTCAGGGAGGGAGAGGGCCATGGCGTTGTAGCCGAGACAGAGGGCGGTTGCGGCGATGGTTGAGAAACGCATGATGGGTAGTGGATTGGGGATGTTGTATTGTAAGAGATGAAAGCACGGTAAAGTAGTTATGGTTGAGTGGTGAGGATGATGCGGTAGAACTGTGTGTCTTGCCCGATATATATACACTCTCACGATGAACCGTTCCGACTGATAAGTTGTCAAGAGTCGAGCACAGATTGACTTGCTGCACGCCTTGAGCCATGATGATCAAGTGCTTGCACGCCTGATGTCAACGGGTCTGGAGAGAAAAGCCTCGCGATACGACCGAACTGTACTGGATAGAGGCAAGATGCTTGATTGGCAAGCAGGTAGACCGATGCTGTCTTCATCGCATCCCGTGGAAACCGCCGTACAGCCCTGTATGTGTAAGGCGCCCCTCTTGGATCAGCGTCTATACAATATCAATCATGGTGTTGCACTTCGCCGTCTCTTAGGCGTTCCCTCGTTAGCCTGTGCAGCGGTCCGATTAGAGACGTTGAACCCCATCTTTCTGCGGTGTTTCAGTAATCACAGCCCCCGCAAAGTTCCCGCGCTCAAAAATAGCCGCTTTGAGTAGACTATCCACGTCAGTCTCGCTCAGGCGTTCCATGTTTAGTCGTCGCGCATAGCCGCACTCGGCTGTGTACCTAAGGCGTACCGGATCGGTCCGTAAAACAACCCTACGTTTGCGCCGACCGACATCTCCGGATCTTGAAACCAAGACAGATCAAGATCGGCATAAGCTTTCATGAGGCGGGCTTATTTCGACTGCAATACTCGATGGTGTCCATGTACCGTACATCAGGCACCCCGCGATCATCTATGTCGGTCCTTTGGTACAGCGTTGCGGCATGGATTCACGTCGCCGTCTATCAAACTTGCTCTCTCATTTTGTGATCAAGGCGGGCAGTCTGTTTGGGGGCCCAATCAGGCTCAGGCCGACGAGGCAGAAACGGTTGTCAAGAGCTTGGTAGTTGACGACGAGGGGAGGTAGAGCGCAGGCCTCATGTAGGTTGTGTTCATTTCGAGATGTATATAAGTAATCGACGCGTCGAAATAGAGGTTATCATCCCACCACAACGATTCCTCTCAAGTCACAATACACAACCAAAATACCTCTTTTGCTACACCTCACTTCTTCACTATGCGTTTCCAGCTCGCCCACATCTTCTGCCTCCTCGGCGCTGCCGAGTCTCTCGCCATCGATGCCCCCGAGAAAGAGTAAGTCATCGTTCCCCCTTGTTCTACATCAGTTATTACAGTCCACTAACACAAACCCTCTAGCTACGCCCTTCTTGACACCAGAGACATCGCCTCTTCCCTCTCCCCCCGCACCGACATCGAAGTCGCCGCCGGTTTCGTCAGCCAGGGCGCAACCGCCACCCTCGCCATCGTCTCCATCGCCAACTACCTCGCCGTCTACATCAAAGGCCAATCCGACGTCAACAGCTGCTCTGTGATCTCCGGAAACGTCGACGGCGCCGTATGGCAGTACTACGCGACCACCTCGGGCCCCAAGTGCGACACGACGTCTGAGTCGAAGACGATTAGGAACGCGGTGGAGAGGGAGTTGAAGTGGATGCAGGAGAATGGGTATGATGCTGCTTGCTTTAAGATGGACCATGGGGGCACTTGGGAGGGACATCTCAAGATTGCGTTGAATGGGAAGCCGATTGCTAGTGACACGCAGTGCAACTCGGCGAAGTTTGTCAATCTGTAGATGTGTGGTGTAGTGGGGATGGGGAATAGGATGGGTGGCATGGGCTCTTGTACAAGTCATCTCGTTCTAAGTGCATGATGCAGTGTCAGCAGGCTTCATTATATATCGTCATGGTTACATTTACATCGCATGCTTCTCCTTCTATCGACACTCATCTCTTATAAGTCTTCATCGTCGTCGAACTCAAACACTCGCGTGAGCCCATCGTCTTCATGTTCATCCTCCCGCTCCTCGATCTCTTCCGGTCCCTGCGCCGCAAAATCCTCTTCCTCCCCTCCCTGTTCACCTGTTCCTTCCCGCATATCCACAGGCCCCCTACCCTCAAAGCTCATCGTGCCATCCATCTCATGCGTAGCCAACACATACCCCCCATCCTCATCCACTCCTCCAGTGAACACCATTCCATCTCGTTCCCTTCTCCTTCTCTCTCTCCTTCTCTGCTCAGCCTGTCTTCTCCTTCGATCCCTGTCTTCCTTCCCTTGAATCCACTTTCTCATTGGTCTGGGAAGCTCATTCGGCATGACTCCTGTTTTCTCCATGCCCCAGGTGGTGAAAGAGAGGGCCGCGCGGTTGGTCGAGGAAAGAGTTGCTGCGCCGATACTCCATGATGCGCGGCCTAAGCCCGAGGATGCGATGGCGCTGGCGAAGGAAAGGGTCGCAGTGGAGACCTCAGATAGCGCGGCGCTGGTATCGTGCAGTGCGGCGGGCCAAGTACCGGGGAAGGGTGTGGCTGCTGGAAGGGATGCCGTGGCAGAGGAAGGAAGGTCTTCCCAGCTTGATGAAGAGGACGAGGAGGTGGATGCAGGCTGAGAAGGGGTTTCTTCTTCGTCGGCACCGATTTGCGACTCGGTGGCAGGGCTGGTGCGGATAGTGGCCGGACGAGGTCGTGGCTCTGGCTCCGCTTGCGCCTCCTCAAAGTCGCGCAGCTGTGAAGTGCTTAGTGCTGCTGATCGCATAGGCGCATTTTCGAACCCGTCGTGGGCGCTGAAGTATGCTTCTGAATGTGATGAGGCCTGGTGTTGTGGGCGGCCTCTCGTGCTACTGCCCTTTTCGGAAGGGTCGTTGCTGCCTACAGCCTTGCGTGGGCGTCCGATCTTGTCAACCATCGTGGCTGTTGCTGAATACGGTAGGTGTTTTAAGTACGTAGTGTAGTGTAAGTATAAGGTTGCCGACTACAGTTGCAACGAATGCTGCGACGCGCGAAGGGACTCCGGGGGCGTATGCTGAAGAAGTGGGTGATTGTACTTCGTATCGTGGGGGACGCGGTGGTGGCTGCCGTATGTGGTGAATGTGAGAACTTCAACGCGCGATTTAATCGGAATAGGGAAGTGCGAACGCCTGCGCCAACGTCACTGCCTTACGACAACGGGGAATCCGCGAGGAGATGAAGGAGGAGAGCTGGCGACCGAACGGTCAGAATGCGCATCGCCAAAACATCTTCACATTTTTTTCGTTCCGATCGCAGAACCATGGATATGTGACTGAAAAGCTGGTACAGACTTTGAATATACGAGGCTTTGGTAGGTCAGTATACTAAAGCTGTGCGCGTAGCACTAAGTCCTACGCTAAGCGATCCATAGGTGGTGCACTTATTAGATACGAAGATATCGGGGCACGTTTGCTACGTCGGTTGCGAGTTCAAGCACCAAACGCGGTGTCATCGAAGTGAATGTGAAAGCACGTGACTGCGCATCTACTCACCTCGTCGACCCACCCAGCGCTACAAAGAGGGGTACCTTCGCAATGAAGTGCTTGGATGCGCGATTAAGAAAAACGTTACCACACATTCATTGCTTCCGGCGTCGCTTGCGCCGACATCGCGCTTTACATTGTACTTGCGACCCATAACCACACAGTGAATACTTGCGTTTAGGCAATCACAATACCAATTCGATATAAGACCGCGATACCCCGCCCTTGACAAAACAACGCGACAGCTCAGACCATCAGTCTTTATATACCACCCGCTACCTGCATTCTGCGCATTATCACAGCCGCTCGCATTCCACAGCACACTTCCACTACTCGTCGTCAATACCCGCCTACTTCACACTCTTTCACGTCCACTCCGCCGATGTCTTCCAGCCCTTCCAACAACCAGCAGGCCGCGCTCAAGATGCGTCCCGTCACTGGTAAGCACCTCCGCGTCCGCGTCTCTGTGCGCCCTTCCGTATACTGACTTGTCGCACAGGGGCCTTCCTGCTCAAGCAGAGTCCTCATCATCTCTCGCATGACATCAAGGACATCCTCGAGAAGCATGGCGTCAAGCTCTCACCCGGCTGTTCCCAAGAGCTTACCCGATACCTCAACGACAAGCTCGAAGCGTATCCCATCCCTTTCGACCCCAAACGTCCCAACCTCCAAGCGGACCTGGACAACAGTGCTCGTCTTCGCGATAGGCGGGCTCAGCTCACGGACCAGGGTGCGACTTCGGAAACACCCGCGAGGACGCTTCATCGATCGCGTCCCGACACCTTCTCGCGGTTCGGCAAGCCTCGCAACATCAACGAGTCTTTCATGGACATCCCTTGGAACGATCCAGTCTCGCCATCCATGTTGCAACCGCCGATGCCCGTCAGCGTGAACTCGCTGCTGCAGGGCTGGCCTCTGAAAGAGAAGTCGCTCGCAGCTGTGAAGACGCCGACCAAGGTCAAGAAGGAGCAGTCTGTAAAGGCCGAGATTCAGGACTCCGTTAAGTTCGCGAATGAGCCTCCCGTCAAGGTCGAGATCGATCGACCCATTGAGACTGAGACCGAATCGGCCAACACCGTGAAGCCGACTTTATTGACTCGAGGGCGCGCCGACGACTATCTCGATGTTGGCGAAGAAGAAAGCAGCGAGCGCGCACCCCTCGCTATCACAAAGGACAACCTCGTCAAGGTAGAAGATAGTGTTGGCAGCGACGTCCAGCGCCATAACCAGATTCACCGCACCGTCGATTCCAAGTCCCCACCTGCTCCCGCCATCAAGTCCGAAAAGGCAACGACCAGGAGCCCCAAGCGCACCCTTAACAGTTTCGAAGAGATGGACGCCGACGCCGTCTCCTTCACTTCTGATAACCTCAGCGCCATCAAGAAGACCCGGCCTGCTGTCAAGCAAGAACCATCCCCTGCACCCGCTATCAAGGTCGAGAACGACACCTCCGGCTTCCAGAGCTCCATCGGCTCGTCCAATTCTTCGGGCTTCCGGTCTTCGGGTTCAGGTGTCAAGACTGAGTTCCAGGAAACGCCTGACACCACATACCTTGGTGAGTCGCAGCAGACACTGGGCCGATCGCAGAGCCCTTTCAGCCAGACCCAAGGTTTCCCGAACCCTTTTTCCCGCAGCCGCTTCGGCAGTCAGTCATTCCTGAGCTCTCCCGGCTCAGTGACCTCACAGACTTCCGGACGTGTCGAGATCAACCCGCGTCGCTCTGCTCGGCTATCACAAGCCAAGATGACCGCTACCGGCTCGTCAGCCCCGTCAGCTTCCGCCCCCTCTGCCCCTCCAGCTGCGTCTCCTACGCCATCTTCTGCCTCTTCTCTTGGTGTCAAGCGCCGTCGCTCCGCCAGCCTTGCAGACGAAGTTGAGCAAGTTGAACGCCAGGGTCGCAACAAGAAGTTCGTGACCAAAGAAGTGGTCGCAAAACAGCGCGAGGCTCGCCACAATGAGGATGCAAGGGATCAAAAGCGCAGTAGCGCCCAGCGTCGTGCCTCGGTGCTCCGTCGTCGCCCAATCTAAAGAGCGCAAACGGCCAGGCTATCTTCACCAGCCACCGGGCGGACATCCCGTCAAAATACCAGACCAACGTGGCCAACATGCCTGCACCAGCTGAACAACCAACAACTCACATGCATCGAAGTCCAAGAGGCTTCCAACGCTCGCCCCATCTCCGCTAAGTCAGGTCAACCTGCCCTCCTAACAAAAGCCAAAAGAGCTTCTTTCGTCGATGACCGTGCCCAAGGCGCGCGTCCATCCAAGCTATCCCGACATCCGTTCCGGCCGATCATGTGAGATAACATCGACGGCCGTCAGTCAAGGTGGTCAAAAGTCCAGAGAGACTTCACCACCCCGTCGACCAGGTGCAAGCTCAAGAGCTCACCTCATCCACTACCCCTTCGCCGCGTCCAGAGAGACGCGCCCATCGGGGTCATCCCTACTGCATTAGCTCAGCTGAATCCGTCCAGAGAGACTTGACAGCTGACGATCGAGATGAGTGACAGGCCCAAAGAGGCTTGAACCGCCGGTCGGGATGAGCGCAAGGCCAAAGGTCTTGACGACTCATCGGCCATCCACCACCAAGACACTTGGTGGGTACTAGCTGGAGATATTTGGAACACAAAAGTGCTTCCATTACCCAGCTGCGATGAGACCGAGTCCACAAAAGTGGCTTGGCTCATTTGCTACCCCCCACCGATCCTTATCATTGAGCGATGTTGAGTCGACTGGAAGTTCACAGGACTCTCATCGCTGGCGCACTGAGCGCAAGTTAAAAAGGCTTGCCATACAGTTCTTTCATCTCTTTTCTGTATCTTGGTTCATGTTTGGTTGTTCTGTTGTTTGCGATTGCTGGCCAGCTGTGCACCCTTGTCTCCTTCTTTTCCTTATCATTCCTTCTGTTACTGCGTTGGTTACAAAGACGTCCTATTAGCATTGTTGCACGTATACAAAAAGTGATAGTATAATAGAAGTTAGGATTTCATGCAGACAGTCAACGTGCGTCGATGCAAATGTGATGTGGTGACTTCGGCTCTCCGCCCGCCCATCCCCACCTCCGCATGCAGGTCAGATTAGAGTTTAGCGCACCAATACGCGGTCAGCATCGCGACCGACTGCATGCACAACGGCTTTCCTCATCTATGGTGTTACGCCCTGATTGAAGTCGCACAGCATTGTTCCGTCTTACATTGCTTAAAGCGCATACCCCGCCGCTTTTATCTCAGCACAATGCAACTCCACTTCCGCCTCCTTACGGCCTTCGTCGCCCTCTTTAGCCTTGCTTCTTCCTTCACAATGTCTACTTCAACGCCCAACTCCACCGACTCATCTCCGGTAACGCGCATAGCGACATTCCGATTCCACCCAAACGTGACTGCGGAGCAGAAGGGCGACCGCGCATCTGCCTTTCTCGCACTTTACGCTGAACACCCTGAGTTACTGGTCGAGGGCCCAAAGGGTGGGAGGCCGCTGAATACGCCATTGAACCTGACGAATGTGAAGAGGGAGAGTGTCTGGGACTTGGGGTTTGTGGTAGTCTTCAAGGTATGGAATGGATGGTGACGCGACCGCATCACGAGTGCTGACAATGAGTAGGATGAAGCCTCGAGACAGGTGTTCGATAAAGATCCGACGCACGATAAACTGAAGGTATGTGACGTCTCCGTGCTTGTAGAAGTGTTGAAGCTGACATCGCGGAAGAATGAGACGGACCCGTTGCTCGAGCAGGTGTTTGTGTATGACTTTGTCGCGCAGCCGAATTTGGGGTGGTGATGGCGGCGGGGATGTCAGAATTGGTCTCGCATGGCCAGATGTCGTGTCGAAGTTTGCAGCACAGGAATCATCGTATCTTAACACTTAGACAATATGTAAAGCCTTGTATGCACCTGGCGGTGCTGCCGTTTGCTCTGACGTACCTCCGTTCTCGGCGCTAGCGTATCGGATCTGCCTAGATGTTAAAAGGTCGACAGCTTCCTCACTTTCTCACTTACCCTTACCACTTTGCAATTGAATTCAGGATGGCGGAATCTTACCTCGAGCCATTGCGCCACCTCACCAAGAATGGCTTCGACGATGCGCGCTTGCTACTTCTTCAAGGCCTCAGTCGCGAGCAGCGCAGTGCCTTGGTTCGGGAAGGTATGGAGCACTTCACTACCGACGAAGCATCCGTGCAGTTGTGTCTCTCCATGCTCGATTCGCTTCAACAACCACAAGAGCGGGCGACGTCTGAGCTATATGTCGAAAGCAACGGTAAGAGATGAAGCATTGAGTGGGAAGTAGACACTGAATTGCTGTGTCACAGACTCCCGGCAGCCTAGCAACATGCAAGTCGCGCCCACACCCACACTCGCCGCGCATGTTCCCCCAACCTTCGGCATAGCACTACCGAGGCGCCAAACCAAACGGAAAGCCACGGAAAACGCAGACCCCTCCAACGACCGTGTTCATAAAGCGCCTGCGCTCAACGCGACAGGTAATGGTGTCAGCAGCCTCTCCAATGGAGACGAAGACGACGATGAAGACTGGGAGGGTACGACTGCAAGACTTGATAACGCTCTACGGGATGACGCTCCTGCGGTCGCCAACGCCGACATTAATGTCATCGACATACGCTCCACAACCCTGGATATACCCGTCCTGAAGATAGGCGCAATGGTCCCGAGCCTCAACGGTCGTGAGCGTTGGCAACCTCTCAATTACCTTGATGATAACATCGGCACCGATATCCATGCCAAATTCTTTGCCCACTTTGCCTACAAGGAGGCGAAGCGAGCAGCATATTCGGCGGTGGCGACGAGTGTCGCTGAAGGCTACAGTCTCAGAGGCGTATGCATCAACGTAGCGGTGTGGCAGAAGGAAGGCGATCTATCCAATTCCCAGAGGCCCGATAGGAACGATGGAAGGGCTTGCGATACTTGCATCCGCACAAAGCGACTCTGCGTGCGCGCTTCGTGGGAATGGCCAGTAGGCTCGAAGCTTTCCGTAATGTCTCTGCCAGACACTTACCGTCAAGGCAAGGCGTTGGGTTCCATTGATGCATGGGTCAACGGAGGATAATGGGCAACGGAACAAGTGCGCTGGAATCTACATTAGTCTCAAATCGAAGATGGTGAAGATTGTAACGCGATGGAAACTTCTAAACCCCCTCCCTCCCCCCTTCCATTGTCCGCTGAAGCCTGGTGTCCAATGACGAGAATGTGATAGGTGTGGAAGCAGACGGAGGAGAGCTAGGACGCAAAACATGTAGCTAATGATGATCGGCTGCCTTTTGCGGCGAATGGTCGCAGTCATGGCGTTACAAAAGATAATCCAGTCTCTATAGTGATGCGCAAGCTTACCCTTGAGGTTGTCGTACAGAGACAGGAGAATACAAAAGTATGTGTGAAGGATGCTGGGCATGTGGATGCGGAGTCGCAAACCTTTGGTGTTCGTCGGTCCGAGCTCCAGACGATGCGCTAGTCGCTAGCTCGGCCGGGGATTGCCGCCGGTCTCCATCAACAAACATCCGGTGCCGGCTACTCACCTCGCACCACAGCAACACTAACGTGTGCGCATCTACACGATGACGAGCTCGTATCTGAAGGCGCTACTTAAACTGTCCGGTGATGAAGCGTTCGCCGATGCGCGCATGAGGCTCATTGATGGCTTGAACTGGGAAGAGCTGGAAATTGTTGCCGTCGAAGGGATAACCGGATGTACCAACCGAAGGGTGCGAGAGCGATTGGTCTGCGCGATGCTCAACATTCTCAAAGAGAATCCGAATATCGAGCCAATGACAGTTCCAAAGACTGGTAAACATGCAATTATGGACATACGAGGCGCCGGCTGATATGTATCACCACAGAATCTCTGGGGTTTGTCCCCATCGCACCTCGGATAGACGCGACACAAGTAAAAGCAGCAACCCCTTCGGTGGCCAAGCGAAAGCGCGCTATTCAGGATACAAATAGCGAGCGACAGGAATCTGCTAGTAAGGCATTCAAAATTGAACCGATTGGTGGCTCATCGTTGGACACCATCGTCTTACGTGATGACGAGAACGATGACAAGAACGAGGACGATTACGAGAGTGACATGTGGGAAGCGGACAACGTCATACATCCATACGACTTTCGCCCCGCGATACTTCCGACAGTCATTGATCTAGAAGATCCTGTTAAAGATGAGGAAGAAAGCAATACAGTAGCGCCACAAGTGGTGCTGTATGCGGACCAAAATCCTACGACGGACGTGAACTTCGTTACTTTTCCCGCGGCCTCCACAACCGATCCAGATCCCAGACTCCGGATAGGCGTATGGGCTCCAAACAGCTTCGGAGGTGGCGCCTGGCTACCTCTTCAAGACCTATCACCTGGGGACGGTAGAGTTATCCACGCAATATTCAATCGAGTCTACATGTCGCACCCCAAGATATCGACAATGTATCGGTCAATAGTGAGGGATGCAGAACGCTTCATGCAGAGGGGAATGTGCGTCTGCCACTGGCTGTACAGCGGCACAGGCGCATCAAAGTACACTTCAGCCGAAGGAGACAAGGACAGGGCTTGTGACCATTGCAATGGCCGGATGCGTCTATGTGTCAGAGTCATCCTGGACACCATGGGCCCCAAGCTGTGCATATTTCCATTGCACGATAAGTTTCGCGCAGGCCAGACTTCGATCTCGCTCGGCGCATATGTCAGACTTAACGGAGTCCTCTTCAGATTTGGGGAGAAGTATGCACGTGGAACATGGGGTATCTCGAGCTTCCCTATCTCCCAATGAGTAGTCACATGCGGCACATCAAGCGTCTCACAATGCATATCGAGGAGCGGGAGAGAGAGCAGCGCGGTAGAAATGAGCCGCATTGGGAAGATCTACAGGCAGCTACGAAATGATCATCCAGCGTTCATGCCGAAGCAACCACCCACCATGAGCTTCCGAACACACCATCCAATTTTCATCGACGAATCAACCTCCACCTCCTCTATTGTTTCGACAATGCCCCCACGAAGTCTCACAATCCAAGCTGTGGAAGACTAAGGCTCGCCAAGAAGATTGAGAGTATCGTTCAGACTTTTGCCAGAGAAGATACCAAAGTCTTGCTCGCACACCGTCCCTTCTTCCGGCATAGTCCCGTTCACGAAATACGCAGCCGTTGCGGTAATGGCGCAGGCCCCAGGGCTGTACATAACCGTGTGCTACCAATGTCGTTAGCGATGTTCTCTCCCGAATACATTACACCCGTCCATAAGACCAAGCCCGTCCATGAAGCCGAAAACTGCTCTCCAACTTACCCCGAGACCATCGTGCTGAAGCACAACACTTCCTTCGAGCGTCTTGTTCGCCGCATAAGCCCCGGAGATTGGAGTGCGGACGTCATATGGCGAACCGATGAGCAACACGGGGTTCTTCGTCTTCGCTTGGAAGTCGCCTTCGTACCGTTCTTTCGCCTTAACCTTCCATAGCGAGCACAAGATATACGCGCCGATAGTGTAATCGCTGCTCCAATCACCCAATTCCGTTATGTGCTGGACGCGTTCTTTGATATCGGCGAGCTCGTCGGCGCGAAACATGGCATCGGAGCAGCGGATGAGCTGCGTGTTGTCTGCATTGATCGCCGCATCCATTATGATGAAGGAGCGGTTCACCACATACTGAGTGTGGTCGTATTCTGGAGTATCGCGGATCATGATGCTGTTGAGATAGCCTGCCAAGTAAGACCCAGATGCGAGGCCCATGCGCAGAGCCGTGTCACTAGCCTCAGCGATCTTCTCGTAGGTGACGATATCGGTGGTGACGTTGGGGCCAATAACGATTGGCTCGCGTTTGGCTTCTTCGCCCAGGTGTAGGATTTGGTCGTACAACGAGTCGGAAGAAATGTTGGGGCGAAAGAGGGGACAGGAGGGCCCAGCATCGATGCACTGTTTGGTAAACTGTCCCAAGGCAGCTGGCGCGGATTCAGCTGGACCGGTCTCCCTGATGCTCGGTTAGCCCATTTCGCAGTCATTTGAATGAAGTTACGTACCATCCTTGCTGATACTCGAGTGGGTTGAGAACACCATCAAGCATCATTCGCTCGACCCTGTCGGGAAACATAGCAGCCAGGACCTGGCCAAGATACGTGCCATATGATATCCCTGGAGTCTATTAGCCGACACTTCCAAATACCAGGCCTCATCGTCCACTCACCCCAGTACCGGAGAAGACCATCCTCGCCTTCCACAGTCAGAGCATCAACAACCTTCATGAAGTCTCTGGCAACGAACGCCGTGCTCATCAACGACCCAGTCACTGCCTCGTTCTGGAAACATCGTGCCGCGTACTGCTTGGTGTAAGACCAGACAGCGCCCAACGCAACTTCAGACGAGTTGGTCCTCGTGGGCGTTCGCAAGGTCGCAACCATCCGTTCCATCTCGTCGTTGTAGCAATCTACGGGCATTGTCGTGCCAGTACCTCTGGGGTCGGGACCGATGATATCGTATTGCCCGCCCGTCATGCTGCACGAGACGATTTGTTAGCACCCGAGCGCAGCATCTACACAGCAAGAAGCAACTTACGCAAGAACATAACGGGCTTGTTGCAGGAGCCAATCGGTTGCGGGCAAACCAGGGCCGCCCCAGTTTGTCAACACACTGCCTAGCTTGGGCTCTTTGGTCGCCTTGACTTTCAAGATGTTGAGGGTGAGCGTGTTGTTCTTCGATTGGGGCAGCGTATAGTCAAGGGGTACAGCCAGCTTTCCGAGATAGGTGTCGGGTCTGCCTAGAACCGTGGATGCATCTGTCCAGTTGATCGCGATTTTCTCGGAATCCTCAGAGCATTCGGTAGATTCAAAAGATGATTGTGACGCCGTCGCAGCGATGTTGAGGCATGCGATTAACGCGAGGCAAAGGGTCGTCCTGGGAAACATCTCGGTACAGTGGTTGTGACGGCCTGTCGATGGTATCGAGATGCTTCCCTAGAGTCTGGTACACTATATATACTTTTACTAAATCTTGCTTTCCCACCTGGTCAGCCTTGCATATGCAACAGGAGAGGACGAGGCGTCTTTCGCGCAGTGCTAGTTGTGGGGGCCGCATCAGAATCAAGCGCTCGTCATTGCCGGACGTGATCAACGGAGCCACAATGACATCGAATTCGTGAGCACTATCGTTAGTAAGAACTGCTAGGCGAAAATAGCCAGCCAGAACCGAAGTAGAGCGCAGTCGTGGCTAATTTGATTCGCACATACATTATGAGGCATATGCTGCGCACTTATACCGAAACGGACTGCGATATGGCCAAGCTCTCTTCCTAGTTAATGCTCGCTGTTGAAAGTCTCGCTGTTTTGGGGTAGCCTCAAACACCGCCTGCTGTCAGCGCTAACCCTGTTAGGAAGTCAGAAGGGCCAAGACGAACAGCAACGAATGAGGAGGAGCAATGGCAGCGATGGTATTGTGGGATTGTTATTGGCCAGCACCAGGTCGCGCTTCCTTCCCTTGAATATAGTCAGCTCAGCTCGCTACTTTACTGCCGAACCGAGACAAGTGCGCATGCACTTCGGCATCTCGGTGACCCATCGAATGTGGCAATTCCGGTTCTGGGAAGCACTGAAGTATGCAATAGTCGATGATTCATTCAAACTAGATTCAGGGCTGGCCTAAGCAGTCGACGACACCATGCTTCAGTCGGCCGATGCATAAATTCCAGGGCTGCATCGATTCGCCATGTGGATCAGCAGACACCCGCTGGTACAAGAGTTGTAAACCTGCAAATCGATCTCATTAGCCTGTCTCTCTGGAAACATCCGGAATAAAACACTTACGGCTCATCAAAGCACTCATTCCAACCAGGTTTCTTCCGCCTCCAGTATCGTCGGAGTACTTCTCGCGCCTTCAAAGGGCTGTTACTGCCAAGAAGGCGGGCATGTTCTTCCAAGTGCCGTTCAATCCAGATTCGAGTGCTTTGCTGAACGTGATAGCCCGCTTCCACGCCAAGCACACATAGTGGAAATGTTGATATCTTCTTTAACTGTTTTAATGGTGTAGCAGCCTTCAAATCTTTGAGTAGACGATCACGATGCCGCATTCGCATGAGATCCATCTCTGTGTCGCTGGGAAGGATGTCAACAGCTTGCAAGGACATTATGCAGTAGAGTGCGATTGCAGACTGCCAGATCGATGCGATTAGCTGCCAGTCATCTTTCTGATCCTTGGACTGCGCCCATTCTCTTGGGCCGAAGGATTCGATACGAGAGAGAATGCTGCGTGCATCTTGAGCGTACTGATGCGGGTCCACAACGGGTGTGAGGCTGAGCTGTTGACGCAGGCGGTTGATGCGGATTATCTCAATGAAGAGTGTCGACGGACACAGTGTGTAAGGGAGGATAAGGCTATACACCTTCTCTACTTCCTCGATATGCTGTTCGAGTGGCTCAGTGATACTGATCTGATGCGATGCTGGACCAAGACTATTCGAAAAGGTTACGATGCTGCATGATGTCAGCCAAATTTGTCGCGATCATCGTGGAATACTAACAGTACGAAGATCACTAGCGCTGATGTCATGTGAGGTACTGTGCGTCGCAGTGATCCAAAGCCACCACGCATATCTATCAGTCGCTTCATTCCATCTGCATGCGACCTCCAGTCGACATCTGTAGAGCTATGTACCTGAGACCATAGTCAGCCTTGTGGAGCCGCACGTGTCAGGATGTAAGAATGTACCTCCATTGCCAGAAACATAAGAATGCTGGCGATAGTCTGATCACTACTGCGCGTTTCCTTCCTCGCGACATTCTCGTTAAGAGCGCGTATAGCAAGGCCTCGATAGTGGTATATCTTGAGTCGATTTTCCGCAATGACAGCACGGTCTTTGCCCAGCGGTGACGAGGCCAAGTAGTAGTTGAGGCTAAGGCAGACAGTAGTGTAGTGCATTGTCGGAGCTAGTATATGCAACGCCCACACTGGGAAATGAACCACTGCTGGGTTGGGTGCTAGGCAATCGGTTTCTTGGATATCGGGATATATTCTAGCGTTGACTAGCGGCATTAGTACATGTATGCATGTTGTCTGGGTTTACGTTCACATACAGTAATTGATAGCTTGTACCACATCGTGTGTCTCATCCGACAAGAAATTGTACGATGGAAGCCTGTTCATCTCCATGATCTGCAGCAGTCTCTGTATCTTCGCGAGAGGCCTCTGATTTGACTGCAGAAGGAGGGCGGCTTCCCAGTGTTGGCCTCTTTCTACCACTTCCTTGATCTGGTCTTTGTTGCCAATGCACATGATGCGTTCGCCCACCCCACAGCCCGCTCCGGCCTTTGCAGTCTTTAGCTCAATGGGGTCTACCTGCTCCTCGATTTCAAGGTCGCGCCACAATGCTGGTTTATCTTGATGCACCAATAGGTTGGCAACTTGACTCTTGGACAGTTCGATCGCCTCCGGGGTAAGCTGTAGCTCTTCGGAGACCGGCCACGGGCACCCTCCTTGTCCGAGGACCTCTGGTAGACTTACGTCGCTAGATACCCCAGGACCAGCGAGGGGTCCATTTGGAATAACGGGTGCGAGTCTCTCGCAGTTTGCTGCTCTGGCGGATGTTGGTGGCCGGCATTCCTTCTTGTTCTTCTTCGGACGAATCGTCACGTGTCCCGGTTCCACCCATTGCAACGGCTTCTGGTCGTTATATCCTGGGCACTCCTTACCCGTCTTGGTACATTTCCTGCATAGCGGCAGGGTGCGATCGCACACCAGGCGTCGTTTGAAGCACTCCCAACACTGACGGGCCGCTATGCTGTCACTGGTCCTAGCGTCCTGCATGACGTCATCCACGTGTGTCGACTTTGAATATTGCGCGATGTGATCTCGAATCGGCTCGACTATGATCTAGTAGAGGTCTCGACGGTCGATGCAAACTCTTCGACATCTTGTTAGTCGTATGTAAGCGCTCGATGCGGGCGGGGCATGGGCAATGTCAGCAGCCAAATGCTTGGCCAAGTTCCTGCCCAAATACGGACAAACGAGCAACAGTCGCCACAGCCCACTGTGCCATAGTGTACTCTTCAAGTGACGCTCGCGACAGTTGTCGCTTTGCTTTTGAGACCGGATCTCAAATATCTCAACCCGGCAGTTTGACAGCATCTTCTAGCACGTAATGCCATGCCGCTGGTGATGGTGTCACGTGCTCACGTGTCCGCTTAGTCGCGGTGCAATTGTATGGCGTTACACAGCATTCGGACAAACATTTCGCAAGACAAAGATCAACACTGACAGCTTCTCCCGTTCCACATAGTCGCAGCTGAGGTGGCTTGAAGCTGGTGACGCCAATTATTCTCCTCTGACGCCTTCGCTGGGCCATCACTTGTTTCTTGTCTACCCACGAGACATCGCAGAAAACACGTTTGCGTCGCGCTGCGTAGCAAAGAAAAACACAACAGGGCTCTTTCTTCCATCACCACCCAGCATGTCATACTACGATGGCGATCTCAAAGCCGTACTCGCGCAGTTCCACGACCATGTAGACACCGACACGCGCAAGGAAATACTCAAGAGACTCAGCGATAACCAGCTGTCGCGTGTAGTTATCCAAGGCGTGAAATGCGAGTTCGAAAGAGAAGGATTGGAGGACATTGCGCTGATCATGCTGGGTGTCATTTCAAGGGATTCTCGCTCGAAGCTCGCGCATGATTTAGATGGAGAGATTGGAGTCGAACTGAAGCATGAAGAAACCGATGACGATGGCGAAGTCGTGATCAAGATGGAACAAGAGTCAGGCGACGACAACGGAGTTACCATGCTGAGATCCAAACGTAAGACGATGTACTTATCACCAGGCTAACGTAACCTATACTAAGATGGATCTCACAGAAGATGACAGCGAGCTTGCTACAACGCCGGAACCTTCAACAATAGCATCAGTGGCCATCGTTTCAAGCGCTAATCGAGGCCGAGAAGCCCAAAAACACCCCGATACTATAAAGGAACGGCCAGCGCGTGCAGAAGGAACTGAATCAGCATCCAAAAGTTTCATGCCCAAATTTACAACTCGCGGTCCCGGTATGACCAACTCCATGATGCGCAATAGAACCGAATCAACATCCAGAGGTTTTATGCACAACCTTCACCCTCATGGTCCTGGTCAGGCCGCCTACTTGGAGAGGTTTAGCAATAGAGATGCTGCTCAGACCCGCTATCAGTTCTCAAAAAGGCCTCGCTGGCGTGTATGAAGATGCTTTCCGGCCATTGACCTGGGCTTCTGGCAACCAGACCGCGAGATTGATTTCAAGGGGCTTCATCCCTAGGCCGCGATAGCTAGTAGTGGAAGGACGGATACGGCGCTTATGATGGGTTCGTTGATGAGGATCGGTTCTAAACTGTGTTTTGATTCTTTCTGCCTGATTAAATATTGTCCATCTTCTGCCAATGCGTGCGCGTCACCTCGTCCGTTTGCACTTTCCCAATCCACGCGTTTTCACAGCTAGCGCCGTTGCGCCGCGCCGCCTTGAGTCAACAACAACACCGCTCTTGATTTCCTCCACCTTCCACCCTACATCGCCCTCCCTTCAGCATTGCTCGCCATGGCGACCATCGACGCCTACCTCAAGGCTTTGCTCACGCTTTCCGGAAACGAGCAGCTCGCCACCGCCCGCCAAAACCTTCTCCAAGGCCTCACCGACGACGACCTTTCGGATCTACTCAAGAAGGCCGTGGGAAGAGAGTTCGCACGCGGCAGCTTGGAGAACATTATCTCGCTCATCTTGGATGTCATCGCTAGGAACCCGGGCTCAGTCAACGGTGACGATACCAGTGTGTCTCACGCGACAGCTGGCGCCAAGATGGAGCAGGGGCAAGAAACCGTCATTCAGCAGCAATGTGAGTGCCCAAAACAAGTTTTGTAGATTTTAACTGACTATGAACAAGCTCTGAGCGAGATCATGGTGATCAACGATATTACAGCATCAGGCAGACCAGCAACACCACCAACACCACCAACACCAGCCGCGTCGGTAGCAGGCAAGCGAGCACTTCCACCGTCTCCCGGCGTTGTGGTCAGCAAACGTTCCAGACCCAATACCTCGTTTCTACACCCGTATGATCAGGTCCTCTCGCCGATAACACAATACGTTGCTCCTATGAACCCACTTGATACCTTTGAACTTTGACTCATTGCATGAGAAAACCCGGAATGATGCAGAGGTGACCTCTCTGGACTATCGGGTGCGTTCTTGAGCAGGTTTCGGATTGATGAAGGAAAACCTACCCTCGATGTATACATACACTTTCAAATTGCATTCCGAAGCTCCAAGAGACGCTGTAGCCTTCTGGCTCACGTTTCGGTGGATGGTTGTATAAACAAAACTCATGATCAACACGTTTCTTCATGCATCGAGCGCCGAAAGAAAAAGAGTGAACACCGCGGCGGTATCTCTTACGTTCCAGCTACTGTGAACAACGTGAACATGTGCAAGGCTTCAGATCAGGATCAACGATCAAGTAAAGGTATCCCCGTCTGCGCGTCTCTCACCTGCCGTCCTCACGCAATCCACATCCTGTCTTTATATATCGCCTTCCATCTATCTTTTCTTCTTCTTTCCTACACCATCCTCTCATATATTTACCACCGCCTTCTCTCTTCCCCTACTCTATCCAAAAACCCAGTCTCGCTGATCACGCCCATTATGTCAACCGCTAAAGGGTACCACGATGCGCTCTTAACCCTCTCTGGCAATCCCGTCTTTGCCGCCGCACGAGACGCTCTTCTCGCAAGCATCAGCGACAACGAACTGCTCGACGTCATCACCCACGGTCTCAAGACTGGTTCTCCTAGAGAAACTCTCAACGCCATCGCGACACGACTGCTTGATGGGCTTGCGACAGCTGGAAGAGTCGGCGACGCGGTACCGCCGGTAGAGGGCAATCATGGCGGCCGCGATGATGAGGGTGATCATGATGACAGCGGCGATGTTGGTGGCCGCAAAGATAGTGGAGGTTCCAGCGGACATGTAGCGCGGAGAGGCGACGGTAAGTCGCACTCTAATGTGAAGACGACAATTAACATCCAGAAAGCACGATGGCCCATACAGACGGCCCTGCAGAAGCCAACCGAAACTCCAACAACGAAAGGAACTCGATCGTCAACCGCAGACAACAAGAGAACGGGAGATTGCCTCATGCAAGATGGAAAGAAGAGAAGATACGTTAGCCCAGATCCGATGGACGATGAGGAAGATATCGTCAAGGCAGAGAAGTGGGTTGAGAATAAAGCAGCAAACGACATTGCAAAAGGGACCGAGCAAGCTTCCAGCAATGCAACAAAGACCGCCAGCTCCGCTTCAGATACCGACAGCGACACAGACACGAGCCTCGACCAAGATACACCGTGGAAAAGAACACAGAAGCTGTCCGTCATGCCAGATCTCAACCTTGTCGATAGCGACGACGAGGATGACGAGGACTATAGCGGAGATGCGTTTCCAATCCCATTACCAACATCGCGAATCAAGAAGACCATCCAAATCCCAAACATCGATCTGAGCTTCTGGGTACCCACTGCCGCCAAAGACTCCAGGAGCAAGTCACTCAATGATTTCCCAATTGCGTTCGTAAAGTGGGCGATTCGTAAGTTCAACGAGGACTACCTGAAGACGTCACGCAATAGGGAATTGTATCAGAAGATGGTTGAAAAGAGCTACAATGGGAACAAGTGCGTAGAGCGGCGACTGGATAAATATTGGGCGCCCGCGTCCTGGGTGAAACCGAACGTCAAGTGGACTTGCAACAATTGCCAGAGGTATGGGAAGTTGTGTGCGAAGTTCACTAGGACTCACGAAGGCAAGGCCACGCTGGTCATCTACCCGCTAGTATCAAGTGGTGTTGAAGACTGGCAGTCGACGGACTACTGGGTACGCAAGTCAATTAGCTAGATGCCGAAGTTTGCTCGAAGAGAATGCTCGAGTGGTTCACGATGCGGGAGGAAGATTTCTTCATTGCGTGCTTCTGTGTCTTTGATTATTTCGAAGGACATATTCACGAGCGGATGGCCGACGAGACATTTCGAATCGAGCTGGGTTCAGCTCAAGGAGTTCAGTATGACGATCGGAGGAAAAGTTGAGATCTTTCGTAGCATTTATCATTCACATGCTATCCTTCAGAAAACAGCAGCGTCTTATTGTTAGACGAGTAACTACTAATTAATGCAGGATGCAAGAGATAGCAAAGTAATAGTATATTGTTAAGTAAGGGTAGACAAATTATTGCCTACTTAGCTACAATTCTCCAGATCTACTTATGCTCCCACTAGGTTAGGTCACCTAACCGTCTGGAACACAGGTTCCTGACACCTATCATCCATAGCACAACCACATAATATATGTTCATAACACACCCTCGTCACACATACTCGTCGTACATGCGCATCACCACATGCTCATCACATACCCTCAATACCCATCAACCCACCGCTCCCCAACCTACACTTTTCTCCTAACCAACCCCCTGAAAAAATCAAAGCTATTCCCATCACTCTGCACCTGCACCACCCTCCCCGTCCCGCGTCCATCAACCTCCCTCACCTCCTCCGCCAGCAACAACCCCCAATCCCTCGTAATTCCTTTAATCCTCGCCTTCACCGCACCCCCACCACTGTACCCACCCACCCCACCACCACCACCCTCCACACTCTCCAAGCTCACCAACTGATCCGTGTGAAGCCAGTTGGCGTAGTAGAATTCCTCCATCTCGCGCGTAAAACCAGATTGCGTGAATGTGGAGTAGAGCGTCTCAAAATGCGCAAGTATACTCGCCAACAACTTCTCGGGCGTGAAGTCCTTCAACGGCGGCGTACACCCCTTGGCCAGTTGATTTAAACTCGTTGTCGGTAACGCGTTACTGAGGTTGAGTCCAATCCCCGTGACGACATCGTAGGTAGAACCCGAGTAACTACTATTGACCAGTATCCCGCCGATTTTAACAACGGGGTTGTTGGACGAGCCGGGGAGTTGCGCGTAGATGTCGTTTGGCCATTTTAGCTTGACGGGGATTTTTTCGTAGCCGGGGGCGTAGTTTTGGATGCCTTGGACGATGGCGAGGGCGGCGAGGTATTGGATGAAGACAACGGGGGCGGATTGGCTGAGTGTGAAGGAATGGTGCAGCACAGTACTAAACATGAGAGCCCCCGGCGGCGCAATCCAAACGTTGTTTCCGCGGCCGCGCCCCGCGATCTGCGTGGTCGCTGTTATGGTGAAGCCGTTGGGCAGGCTGCGTAATAGGGACGGGTTCTTCTCGAGGAGCGTGTTGGTGGAGGTCACGACGTCGGCGTAGATGAGGTGTTTGCCGAAGGAGGCGTTCGGGTTGCGGAGTTTGGTGTGGTAGTGGTGGAGGTTTAAGTAGAAGGATTCGTGGTGGAAGGGGGTTTCTTCGGGTGATGGGAGGGCTTTCGAGTGGGTGACTATGACTTTGATGATCTTTTCGTAGGAGACGATTTGGTCGGGGGAGGTGGTGGATGTGTAGGCGATGCAGTCTTGTATCTCTTCTTCTGGGGTTTTGGGCTTTTTCTTCTTTTGATCTTCCTCTTGAGCCTGTTGTTCAACGTCTTCCTTAGCACTGTTCGTAACAGAAGCGAGGGTAGGCAGCTTCTCCGACACAGCGCTAACGGCCCTTTTCAACTCCTTGACGCTCCACGCGCTCCCCTCTTTCTCGATACGAAACACATCGTTCTCGCCCTTGATATACTCATCCCCATCGACTACAGTGATGATTTCGCTCCACGTAGCGACGAGGTCAGCGACGTCTGATAGGTTATGAGCTGTGAGATGCAAACGGGAAAGGGACGGTACCGCTTGTTCCTGCTCGTTGACCTGCAGCCCAAGTTTGCGGAGGATCAAGCGCATAAAGTCAAGCCTGGTAGCATCTGTAGCTGCGATGTCGCTGATGACGGTAGCATACGAAGGTAAGCTGGGGATTTTGCTTAGGTTCTGGGGCGCGAATCTACGGTATGTCAGTCACAATGTGTTACATAGATCGAAGCAGACTTACTCAGGATGCGGCCCAGTAACAACAGCATGCCCTTCACCCACCTTCCTATACACAACCGCAGCCTTCCCCTCTCCACTCTCAACATGCAAATCCTCTGTATAACTCGCCAAAATCTGCACCCCCCTACTCTCCATCTTCCCCGCATCAACGAAAACACCCCCACCATTATAATAGCTCTTGAACACATCCCCTACCCCCTCATCAACCCCCTCAAAAGCACCTTTCTCAATCTTAATCTCCGCCGCCCTCGCCCCAGCTTCACTCGCATACTTGAACCCCTCAAACGCCAGCCCCCTACACGTCCCAGGGAAGAAACCCAATTCCCTCTCTCCTTCAACAGCCATTTTGGGGTCGTTGACTTCGAATTCACATCTACTGCTACCGTAGTATCCTCCGGCACAGAAACCGAGATAAGAACCACCGGCGTTTACATACCGACTGATCCGGCGGTTGCCTTCGCCGTTGAGCGTGCGGCAGTAGCCTAGATCGGCGCCGCCGGGGAAGACGAGTAGGGCGCATGTGCTGAACCAGGGTTCTTTGATGAGGGTGTCGCCTGTTACGGGGATGACAGCGTAAGATGGGGAGAGAAGTCGACGCAGAGTGTAGAGACAGTGGCGGACGGACTCTGTCGTGCTTCCGTTACCTGGGCTGGCTTAGTAATCTTGGTGGGGATGTGAGGAAGTTCGAAAAGGCGTACCGGAGTATACCAGCACATTCATCTTTTTGCTCGCCATGATGTTGAGGATGTTGATATGTGATGTGCAAATCGTATGCTGACTGTTGGTGACGTTTAGTAGTAGTGCGGACCGAGTTTGGCCGGCCGTGCTCAAATCAACTCTCTCAGTGACAAGACCTTGCGCAAGTTTCGCAACCCGATAACTTCACACCAAGTATACCTTCTACTGTCCCAAGCTCCTTCAGATATGTCAAACGAAGACAAATCCCGAGCAGCAGCAGCGCAGTTGCTGATTGATGATGAACCCGATGACTGGTGCGTATGAAATTCCAACTTTTCGGTTTGGTTAGATGCGGAGATCCGGGGAAGCGAGGAACAAAAGTTGAAAAGCGAAAGAAGCTAACCAAGGTTTCGCAGGGACAAGCGCATCTACAGCACCGGTTGTGCGGATGAGAACGCAAAATTGACAGATTGCTACTACGAGAAGAAAGACTGGCGGGCGTGTAAGCAAGAAGTAGGTTCTGTGGTGACGAGCATTGCTTCTGGCCTCTGGACCTTGGATGAGCCGAGGATCCGCCGAAAGAAGCAAGGCGGCGTTGTGAAGACATTGCAACTAACACGATACCTAGATGGAAATCTTCCGACAATGCTGGCAGCGACATGGCAATGACAAGAGGACGGATTCGAAAGACGTTTCAAAGTAGCGGATTCGACAGCCCAGCTTCGCGAGCGCATGTGTAAAAGTAACTGTATCATCACCAATGGCGAAGCCATGTAAATTTCACTGAACGATCAACAACACATTCGAAATAGGACAAATCTTTTCGTTCTTGGTCATACTAAACTACTTGTAGCAATAAAAAAGATACTCATCAGGCCATTATGCTGCAGCTGTCATTGCTTGACCCAGCATGATACCACATGAGGCCGTGGTGCCTCTGTACCGCAACTTCGTCTCGACCTAGACTGGCTTCCGCAGAACTCCAATGTCCGGCATAGCATCATTGCAACCATTCTCCGTGACTGAATGAGCTCAATGTGTTATGTGCGACACACAAACTCAGTCGCACCCGCTCACTTCCTCTCATAAATCGGCGGCACAACATCCGGGTGAAACGGGCTCTTCGCCGCATCCGCCTTCTGCTTGTCAAAGTTCCAAACACCATTCGTCTGCCCATCATTGATGCCCTCGCCAATCTTCTTGGCCAGCTGCTCGAACAACGGGTACTTTGGTGCTTTTGAGAAAAACTTGCGCTCCCACTCTTTCCCAGCGTCCTTCTCCTGTTGTCGCATCTCGCGCTGGCGGGTCTCGATGATGGTCTTCTCCGCGCTTGTCAGGTCCATGTTGCCACTGTTAATCGCATCCGACACCTTCTTCCACGCGCGCCGTGTCTCGAAGTCGTCTTGTTGCTCGATGGCGGCGACGGTGAGGGGCGTTGTCTTGGTGGACTTGTGGTCGAATGTGTCCACGACGGCCTTGGTCTTGGCATCCTTGATCTGGAAAGAGTCGGTCCACTGGCCGTCGGCCTTGTAGATGGCTTCCTTCTCCTTGCCCTCGGGGTACAGCACGGCGGTGAACGAGTTCTTCTTTCCGGAGACCCAGCCCTTGCCGCTGTAGTCGATGCGCGCGGTGTAGCCGGTGGAGGATTGGATGTAGGTGCTGCTGTTGAGCTCGACGTAGGGGGAGCCTGTGATGAGGCCTTCGATGTGGAGGGCGGGGAGGGTGATGAGGTAGCTTTCGTTGTAGTTGTCGAGGTGGAGCATGGCATGTCCGATTTGCTGTGAAATGTTAGAGGTGCACTGGGAAGATGCTAAGGGAAATTACCTTGACATTAATCGTGGTCTTGAAGGACGCTTTCTGCGCGTTGTAGCCCTCTAGCCGGACGCCGTGTTGGTCGTTCCAGATGGAGTAAGCCGTGACGGGTGGATGATGACTGCGCGCATTGCATTAGCTCTCCCGTACTATACGCGTGGCATGCTTACGACAGGCTGAGCCATCGCAAACGCGTGTGCGCGCGTACCTGACTTGCTCGCTGACGAGCTGTGTTGTGCCTGCCTGGTCCTCCCACTTGCCCAGGAAGAGCTCGCCCAGGAAGGGGTTCAGCGGCTTCTTCTCGCTACCCAGCTTCTCCGACCGACTGGCGTACTGCTGCTTCAGTGTGCTCAGGAACCACTTCAGCACCAGCATGGCCCGCTTGGCAGGGTCCTTCTCGGCGGCCGGTGCGACGAAGACGGAGGGGTGTTCGGTCCAGTATGAGCTATCGGAGTTTAGTCTGTTTTCCTAGGCGGTGAATACGAAGGGACATACGAGAACTCGGTGAGCGACTTTGTGGAGAGGATAAATGCAGGCGCCGTCATTGTGGACAGGTCGCCATTGAAGGACGCGATGGACTATCGTGTGTTAGTCAAATGCCATGTTCGAGTCGAATTACCATAAATCCTGAAGGTACGAGCCTATTTGCTATGCGCGAATATGTCTAGACACGTGAACATGCTGGGATAATTCCGTACCTTGAGGAAGCTCGTCCATGAGCCTCTGGCCTGGGGTGGCACTGCCGATCCTTCTTTCTCAGCCATGATTGCGTTGCACGTATGTTGGGGATTATTTAAAAAGGGTGGAAGAGGTAAGAAGAAGCGTCCACAGGTGTAGACGCGCGTGTAGGGATGTGTGAAAGGCGGGGGTTGTCGAGGACTAGGGACCTTCGCAGTGGGGACGGAGGGCTGTTATGGAGACGCTGCGGACGGAGCATGTTTAGATTGGGCAATGACGTCGGAGCTAAGCCACACACCCGCCCAAACACAACGAGGTCATGACGAACAGCATTCTCGCCACGGGGCAGTCAGCCATGCTATTCCATTTATTGGTGCTATGTTACTATTGTGATATCTCGTGTACATTTGTCTAATCATGCTATTACATCTACGCGTTCCCTGCTCCGACGACGCGCTTAGGTCTTGACATCGGGCTCGGTGCGGCCAACGTACTCCTGGAGCTTGAGGAGGTCCGTCGCGAGCTTGACGTTATCCTTGAGGTAGTCCTGCGCGTCCATGTCGTATGTCGACTCGTCGCTGGTGTGCTTCTCGATGTAGAGACGGATGGTCGCGCCGCTGCTGCCTGTGCCGGACAGACGAACAACGATGCGACTGCCATCGTCGAACTTGACGAAGATACCCTGGTTCTTGCTGACGCTGCCGTCAAGATCGGTGTAGGAGAAATCGTCGGCCTCGAGAACCTTGCGGCCAGCGACGGTGGAGCCAATGAACTCGTCCTTCTTGGTGGTGATGAGCTCCTTCATGTGGGCCGTGACCTTGTTGGCGCCCTCGGTCTCGCAGCCCTCGTAGTCGTAGCGAGTGAAGAATGTGCGGCCGTAAGTCGTCCAGAAGTCCTTTTGGATCGACGCAATGCTGGGTGTGGTTCCAGTCTGCTGTCCGACACCGGCCAAGATGTTCAACCAGGCGACAACAGCCCACAGACCGTCCTTCTCACGGATGTGGTTGCTGCCGGTTCCGAAACTCTCCTCACCGCAGATGTTCATCTTGTCAGAGTCGAAGAGACCGCAGAAGAACTTCCAGCCAGTGGGCACCTCGTAGCACTCGACGCCCTTCTTCTTGGCGACAAGGTCAATGGCGCCAGAGGTTGGCATACTACGGGCAAGACCGTAGATGCCCTGCTTCTTGAAGTATGGGATGAGCTCGGCGTGGTGTGCAATGATGGCTAAGCTGTCGCCGGGTGAGACGAAAGAGTTTGCGCCGTAGATCATGTTGCGATCACCGTCGCCGTCGCTGGCAGCGCCGAACTGGATTCCGTTCTTGTCAACAGCGTCGACCAGCGACTTGGCGTAGACAAGGTTGGGGTCGGGGTGGTGGCCGCCAAAGTCGGGCTTGGGAACGCAGTTTTGTGTGCTGTTGGGGATGCCGAGCTCCTTCTCGAAGATGTCGACACCGTATGAGCCAGTGACACCGCTCAGGCCATCGAACAGGACCTTGAAGTCGGAGTGCTCCTTGAGGAACGACTTGATGAGGTCAAAGTCGAAGATGTCCTTGAGCATCTTGAGGTAGTCCTCGGTGGAGTGGACAATCTCGACCTCGAGGCTTCCGTACTTTTGTGTACCGATGGTGCTGAGGTCGATGTCGGGGATGTCGGCGATCTTGTACGAGCTGAGGGTCTTGGAGGTTTCGTAGATCTTGTTGGTGACGCTCTCGGGGGCCGGGGCACCGTTGGCGAGGTTGTACTTCATACCAAAGTCCTCGTCAGGGCCTGGAAGTATTAGATGGGAGGAGTGTATGCGTAGTGGAGGACTTACCACCGGGGTTGTGGCTGGCAGTCAGGAGGATACCACCCGTCGCCTTGCGTATCCGGATGATGTGACTGGCGGCGGGTGTGCTCATGATGCCGTTCTGGCCGATGAGGAGCTTCTTGACACCATAGGCAGCGCTCATCTTGGCAATGGTCTGGGTGACCTCGGGGTTCCAGTAACGGCCATCACCACCAACGACGAGGAACGCGCCCTCGACACCTTCGGGGATGGACTGGAGGATGCTGGCAACGAAGGACTCTGAGTAGTGCTCCTGTTGGAAGACCTTGACCTTCTTGCGCAGACCAGAACTGTAGCAATGTATGTCAGCTATCATCCCTCAACGCCATAGCTCATGAGATCTCCCAGCTGTTGCAGGGTTGTTGAACTTACGTTCCGGGCTTCTGATCCTGGAAAGGCTTCAATTCAACGGTTCGGACGCTCATATTGACTGTGTATGTACTTCGAGCTTTTTGAGAGAAAGATGAAGCAATTGGAGAGTCGGGCGATGTGGCAGCTGGCAACTTTTGAGCTGGTGAGGGGCCCAGCTTCCCCCACCACGCGGGATGACGCCGGCGCTAGCTCACCAGCGGAAAGACCAACGCCACGCTGGCTATCATCGACGACTTTTTCTTGTCAACGTCCCAACACTCGCTGCGCCCATGCACTAGCCCTGCATCTGAGGCCGAGACACTGCACAACACCTCCAACTGACCACTCCCCGCCTCGCTTCGCCCCAGACCCTTTGCGGGGGTACCCTGGCCGTGTGCATACCATCGTTCCTTCCGTCTCGACTAGAACACACCTTCCTTCCCAACACCCTCAACCGCCTGGTCAAAATGGGTATCCAGGGCCTTGCTAGGCGTCTCGAACCCTATGCGACGCGGCTTCTCCCCATGCACCTAAACGGCTACTCAGCCGTGATAGACGGCCCTGCCCTCGCCTACTACGCTCACAAATTGGCCCTCGCTTCAGCCGCTAGCGCCACCCGAATCCCGTCTTATGCAGACATCGTCGCTGAAGCACTCCGCTGGCTGACCTCGTTGGGGAAGAAGAGCAACATCAAGGTGTGAGTAAACTACAGTTGCTTTTCAGCGCCCGGTCACGGAACCACCATGGCAAGCCAATAAGGTGCGCACATATGTTCTTCACTTCACCGCCATTGCTGCAGGGGTCGCGAAAACTTCACTTATCGTGGAGTCGAGATGGGAAAGTTGCTTGATTGCACTTGACCGTGACCGTTCTATGCACGTTATGCGAGTGCTGATGTGAGCTTATGCCGTCCACTGCTGATCGCACGTTCTCAGGACTGCCATCTACTTCGATGGAGCCTTGCCTACTTCAAAGCGAGCCGAGCGACTGTCCAGGACCGAGGCGAACAACAGACGAGTGCAGCAATTCCGCAACAACTACGCTACCGTTTCTTGTCCTGTTCCCACATATCTGGGCTCGATATCATACGCGTTCCTTGCGCCCGCACTACAAGAAGCGCTAGTAGAGACAGATTCCCCTTTTGCTACATATACCCATACAGTACCGGGGGAAGCAGACGACTGGTGCGCATCCCACGCGAAAAAGCATGTACGATCCATCATCTTCACGAGCGACACCGACCTTATTCTATACGACTATTCCGAAGATACGCTCATCGTATTTCTCCACGATGCAGACATCTCTACTGGTATCAAGGCGTACTCACCAGCCGTGATCCGAAAGCAGTTACAAGTGACGAGTCTAGTGACGTTCGCATACACGCTTGTCGAGAACCCACAGGATAGTGCAAAGCTGCTAGCTCACCAGGCTGAGGATGTAGACCAGAAGTCTACCCGGTACATTGACTTCGCTAGCCGCTACGTCGCGAAGACCACAATGCCGGCTTACCTTGATGAACCAGACTTAGTAAATCCGCCTCAGATCGACGTCCGGCTATCTGAATATGTGCACCAAACCTTTACCAACGACGAACACCCGCACGTGTACTTGCCTTTACTTATCGAAGAGCCATCCCAGGCATCAGCATGGTACATAGGGTGCGATATCCGTAGACTGGTTTACAAGCTACGTGCGACAAAAGAGCATACGGTAGTACAAGAGTACAGAAGGAAAGCGCAAGGAGTATCAGTCCAGGAAGTTCCCATATACCCTCGGCATTTTGACCAGAGCCCAGTCGATGACCTGGAGTCGCAGATGCGCAGCCTGAGATCCTGGGGTGAGGAGAAGTCCGTCAGCTCACAGCTCCTATGGTCGCTCTTTGGTCTCAGTCTAGTGCTTACCGAACTCAACACGCCGCCGCCCATACCCTTGGTCCTGCGCGTACTCAATTGCGACTTCGATAACAGCTGGGCTTTTGTACACCTCACGGCTAGGCTGCATGCTGCTCTCTACTCTCTTCGCATGTTACTCCAAATGGTCAAAGTCGCGAGGGCAATGATGGATCCTGACCAAACAATAGACCCCAGGGACCCACAAGAGTCCGAAAACGCCAGGCTGCGCAGGACAGTGCACATCATCGCCGGTCACATGTCCGACTTCCCCTCGATACCGGACGTGATGGGTGTACCGGGCCAGGCGAAGCGCGTCTTAGCCGAACACGATGTGCTGAAGGAATTGATCGAAGAGATATATACCTCTGCTGGTGTGGGAATACCAAGCGAACAGATATCCAATAAGCAGAGGAAGAAGCAAATGAGGGAAGCAGAGAGGAAGAAGAAGAAGTTTGTCCAGAGAATGCAGGCGAAGCCGCAGGAGGGAAATGCTTACGCATTACTGGGTGATGGTTGATTCTATATTTCCAAGAACGGCACGAGAAATGACAACCGAATCAAGACTGTGCACACTTCTTTCATTAACGCCATCGTACAATGATCGAGCTGTCAGCTGTCCTTGCCTCGTCGGGCGCGCACGCACAATCTGCGGAGAAACGATGTGCGATGTCTCAAGTTGGGTTCGCACGGTTCCGTTTGCGCTTCGTACAACCTTCGTCGTACTGACTTCACAGCTATAGAGTTTGACATCAACATTTAGCCGTAGTGACATACGGCGCGTTCTAAGCCCGAACGCCGTTTTCGGCCTACTAAGCACGCGACCACCGACCTCTAGCTAGGACATCCACGTCGAACATCCATCGCCACAGACCTGGTCACGATGTCGGTCAAGCCACAACTTGGAGATGCGGCGCTATATGAACACGCTGTCACGCGTCCGCATAAAGTCATGGATTGACTGTAACGCATGTCGAGGGGCATTAATATCCGCGACGGACGTTCGGCCGAACGATTGAGTACAAGTAGGACGAGCAAGTGCTTGAAAGCGTTGCGCTACTATATGAGCAAAACAAGTACTTCTCTGATATAACTTCAAACCAGCGTCACCACTTCTAGAACAGCACAGCACATTTCGCCCGCCATGGCTTCATCGACCTCCCAGCCCCAAGCAGACACCCTCATCCGCGCCGGCACAATCGAAACACTCCAATCTGGCATGCCACCACAGCGCTCCATAGCCCTCCTCTCTGGCCGCGTTATCGCTCTCTCCGAGGACCCATCCGGCTTAGACGACTTCATTGGCAGCGAGACCCAGATCATCGACGTACCAGACTCCACAGTCCTCCCCGCATTCACAGATACGCATACACACTTGATTCTCGCTGGATTGACCTACTTCGACGTCCCAGTGCACGATGTCAAAAGCCTGGATGAACTCTTCACAAGATTGAAGAAGCGGGCGAGCGAGACGAAAGAGGGGGAGTGGATTTGTACGGCGACGGATTGGTTGGAGTATAATATCAAAGAGCAGAGACTGCCGACGTTGAAGGAACTCGACGCTGTTTCGACTAAACATCCCATCATGGTTATGCGCGGTGGTCACAACGTTGTCGTCAACTCGGTCGTCGCGAATCTGCTAAACGTAACACGCGACACCCCATCACCACCAGGCGGCCTCATCGGAAAAGAAGCAGACGGAAGTCTATCCGGTCTCTTCCAAGACTCCGCCACCATACCCATCCTCAAATTGAAACCATCCACAACCCTCTCCGAACGCATCTCCGGCCTAGAAGCCGCATCCGCCGCCTACGCCGCAACAGGCACATCCAGTGTGCGCGACTGCTACGTCCCGCTCGCGGACCTAGACGCCCTCATCGCCACGCACTCCGCCGGAAAACTTGCCGTGCGCGTACATGCCTTGATACCCGCCGTAGGCATGACCAGCGCCTCCCAAGTCGAGACCCTCCTCACCAAAATGGAGTCTTACCGCCACCTCCAACGCGATCCCTACCTCTCCGTCTGGGGCGTCAAATTCATGGTCGACGGCGGCATGGAAGCAGGCGCCGTCTCCTCTCCCTACCTCTCCATCCCGCCCGGCCGCGAAAAAGACGCAAATTGTAATTGCTGCGGCCTCCCCTCCTACCACGGGATGCTCACGTGGGAGAAACCTGCGCTCGTAGACGCCATGACCGCGGTCGTGCGTCGAGGCTGGAAAATAGGAACGCACGCATATGGCGACCGGGCTGTGAAATTGGTGTTGGATGTATACGAAGAACTCATGCAACGGTTTCCGTATCTACAGCCTGGGACTCTGGTTATGGAACACGGAGGCCTAGTCTCACCGGCTGAACAAGTCCGAGCCGTGAAGCTCGGTATCGCTACGACGATCCAACACCCACTCCTTCACAACGCGGCGGGGGTACAAGAAGTATACTGGGGCACGGATCGCGTATCTCGCACCTTCCCCGCGCGGACGTGGCTGGATGCTGGTGCGCTGATAGCGGGCGGGAGCGACTATCCTGTTGGGAGTTTTGCGGCTATGCGGTCGGTTTGGGGGATGGCGTCAAGAGAGACGGTGATTGGGGTGAGGGGCGTTGAGCATAAGATTACGGTGGCTGAGGCGGTTGCGTTGCATACTACGAAGGCGGCGGAGCTGCTGAGAGAGGAGGGGGAGAGGGGACGGCTTTTACCGGGGTTTGTGGCGGATTTGGCGGTTTGGGGGGTTAATCCGCTCAAGGTGGATGAGTTGGAGGTGCTCAAGGACATGATGCCTAGTCATATCTCTGTGGGGAAGAAGTTTGTAGCACTTTAGTGTGCGTGCGTGATAGAGAAGTGAGAAATATAGCTGTCAGGCGCTCGTACGCCCATGGACATATATGATTCTGGTATCTATAATCTCGAAGAATGATACGACGCCCATCTAGATGCCGCTATATTAACACAAGGAAATTCGTCATCCACCTCCTACTACCTAGCAAAGTAATCCCTCGCCCCATCCCTACTAGGACTATACGGCGTATACTGCTGCTGCCCCCCAGCCAACCCACTCCCCACACCCATCGGCGCAGCCCCACTAACCAACCTCCCCTGGTCCCCTCCAATCTCATACGGACTTTCTCTACTATCCACCCCTCTCAAATCCAAGCTAGGACTAGGACTATATTCGCGCAACGCACTGGGTGTTTGGTGGTATCCAGCCGGGTAAAGCACGCCCGGATCATCGCGCATGGTACGTTCCGAATCGCGACTTGTGCTGCGACCGCGATCGCTGTTGTTCGTCGAGTTATCGCGGCCCCAGTGGGAACCGGGTGTATCAGGCCTCCCCACCGTACTACCCCCGTACAAACTGCCCTCTCCGCCGTGTTCATCGCTAAACTCAGGTCTGTTTTTATAATTCTCAAAGTCCATATTAGATTCCGAGACGAATTCAAATGGCCCCGTCCCACCGCCGCTGGTGATGTTGGCGGAAGCGGCGGTTTTGCCAGGGTGTTCTTTGGACATGCGTTTCATGGTGTAGACGTCGGAGAAGGCGGCGGTGTCGCCGATGTCGCCGTCGAGGCGGCCGCGGTAGACTTCGGCGAGGAGGTGTTTGGATTTTTCGTGCACCATGGGGACGGTGAGCTTTTGGTAGAGGGCTGGGTGGCTGGAAGAGCATGTCAGTAACGCATCTTTTGTCTTTGCAAAGTGTAGGTGAACTTACCCAAATCGCACGGCAACGCGATCCCTACGACGCGACTCCTTGTCGATTGGGGTTGGTGCTTCGGTGCCCTTGGCGCGTGTGCCTTGCGTGTAGTACTTGAGCGAGTGGTCGAAGGCGTTCTTGCAGTAGAATTTGAAGGCGATCAAGCCGAGAGGGAGAGGGGCCATGGCGGCTAGCATAGTCCATTTGTGTTCGTAACCGCGGGCTACGACCAACAATGCAACGATGCAGTTGGAGAAGAAGGTGCCAACGAGCATGCGGTTGAAGAGCACACGCCAGAACGCACCGCCTGACTCGTTCTTGGTGCAGAAGACGTACCTAATCATATATCAGCGGGGGATTTGAGGGTTTTGGAGTTAAGACCTACATCAGAAGATACTTCTTCATCCAGCTATCGAGCGTAAAGTAAATCGCCACAATGACCAGCGTGATCGGCTGCAACGGCGCAAAACACAACGCAACCGTCGAGTAAAACAAAAAGTAGTTGTAGTAACTCGCATAGTCAAACGGCGGCGGCGCAGTCCGACTAATCAGCTCCCTAGGCGTCGGATTCAAGAACTTGCGCGAGAAACTTCCCCACGCGAGGTTGACAGCCTGGGCAAGATCGATAGCAGCACCCAAGTTACGCTGGACGAGCCAGGTAACCCAAAAGGGCGAGACTTCGCACAGGGTACGCATGGTCGTGTCGAAGAACTTGATTTGTCGTAGAATGTCCATGAATGGAACGTGTTCCTGGGTCGCGAGATTGACAATCATGACAATCATGCCGAAGACGGCGCTGAAGAGCGAGAAGACGAACAAGTTGTTGAAGACAAAGAAGGCGTATAATTGTGCTGTGACATGGCGCTCTCGGGATGTCTTGGTTGTGTCTCCGGCCTTGATGGACAAGCGACGGAAGATAATGGGGAGGAAGTAGTAGAAGAGCGAGGTAAGTGCCGGAGCTGCGAGACCTTGAACAACAGCCCAGAAATCGGCGTGTGCGGCTAGTTCGGTCTGGAAGGTAGGCCATACAAAACCCAGGTTGGAGAGTTTGGACAGGAAGACGGCGATCAGGGCGTTGGGGATGAAGTATAGGAGTGTGAGCAGGGTGATCCAGAAGTTGTTCACGGTCCTCCTCCATCGTCGCGTCTTGGGGTCGAGGGTAAGGTTTTTCCAGATGATGTCTTTTGGCTTGGGTGCAAGTCGGACGGTGGTGCCTTTGACGTGCTTGCTGCGGGCTGCGAAGGCGACCATGTGCGCAGAGTCGATACTCTCGTAGCTAGCGAATCCGTACGATAGAGCATCGCGCTTGTCGATTGTCTCCCGGACCTCCTTGATCTTGCTTTCCAATCGCTGTATCCGCGCTGTGAGGTAGTCGATTGCATCCACCTTTTGCGCCTTATCGGTAAACTCTGGGTCTTTCTTCGAAGGAGTACATAGCGGTCGCTCGGCGGGTAGCTTATTCGGGTTCTTCAGATATTTCGCCAAGATCTTCTCCAGGTCAATGACCGCCTCTTCGTGTGCCTCGATAAGATCCGGGATATCCTTCACGTTGCGTCCGATGGACGCGCGGGGCACCTCTGGCGTAGTCTTCAAGCTATCCGTAACCTCCACGATGCCCTGGTCACTGCGAAAGCTGCGGTCGATATCCGTAACCATCAACGTCCGCGCGTGTAGACTGTTCTGGTAGTCTGGGTGCTCGAGGTACTGGCGTCTCATCCGGTGTACAGCGCGGTACATCCACCACAAGAAGCCGCAGACGATGATGTCGATAAGGTATGCCAGCACGACGAAAGCCCAGAAAACCTGGCCGAATAGATCTCTAGGTGTCATCAGGAAGATGATCTTGCCGCTCATATCTCCGTCGAAATTCTTCTGGAATTCCACCGACTTGATGACGTTGACGGGAACGATGACCGCACAGCCAACGATGGCGAGTACGACAAACATGTTCCTGCACATGCGCGCAAAACGCAGGAAGATGGTCGCATCCAGTCCAATCTTCTCAACATACTCGGGTTCGTTTGTCTTGAACACAGGCTTGTACCACGCGAACAGCGATTTGTCGAGAGGCGGCGGTCGGTGTTTCTCGTCGGTGTGTCGGAGACGGGGCGCGTAAACGATGGTATTAAAAGGACGTAGTAGGAGGAAAAGTATGAAAATGGCGGCGGTGATGCCGAAGGATGTGCCGATAGCGACGAGGACGGAGTCTTGGGATACCTGGGAGTGTTAGAGTCGCATACAACAGATGGGGGGCTGCATGTACCGAAGCGCCCAGGGCATTTTCTGTCATCAACTGCTCGAACTTCTGCTCTATGCTCAGGTCCCGCCGGAGCAGCACGTTCGGTACTGTGGAAGCCATAGCGAGTGACGGGTGTAACGTGTAGCGAAGGTGTGGTAGCGAGTGTGGTAGCACGTGTGATGGGTACACGTGGTATTGGGGGTCGATCTCGGGTCCGAGAGCTCAGCGCATGTCTTCCTCGTGTTCCCCTCTCTCTCACTGGGATCTGAGTAAGATCTGCTGTATCGTAAAGATCGCCGGTGGTCGTATTCGGTTTTACTCGGCTGCCTGCTCTTCACAAGGAAAAATGACAAGTGGGTATACGCGCAAGCAGAAAGAGTGTACAAAGCAAAGTGTAAGGAAAGCCAAGAGTGAAGCAAGCAACGGTAGCAGTAAGCAGTAGCGGCAGTGAGAGAGAGTTCAGAGCTACGAGCAGTGCCTCGCGTCCCTTGCCCGTGAGAGCGGATGGAAAAGGACCGTCGATCCCTGTCGTGCCCTGTCAAGATGTCGGCGCTAGAGGGAGCTGTGACGCCTCGCTAGAGCCTGACCCTAGCCGCCCTCCCCCAGGCACGCCCAGCTATTGGCTGTCCCAGCGCGCCGTTTTAACGCCGGGTACGCGGCTCTGCCATGGCATCTCTGGCGGGTGGTTTTTATTTTTGGCCTCCAGGGCCTGGCCAGCTGCCCTAAGATTTTCCAGAGAGATCGCCCCTTAGTGAGCTCGGAGTAGTTTGCGGAGAGCGGGAGAATGAAGCTGCGCTACTGCTATGCTTTTGCACTGCCACGCCTTCTCACAACAAGTATCATCGTGATCGGACTGTGCCCAGGTGCATAACTCGACGAATGAGATACGGAAATGTGGCGGTGCGCAGGCGGCTCTTCGGATTTGATGAGGCTTGTCCAGTCCACTCTCGTTTCAAATATGCATGTTTCGGACGATATGAAATGGGCCACGTTTATGCTTGGAGATGGATCGTGGGTTGCGTGGAGTTTTATTGGGTTGCCGATGATCCGTGTACTCGGTGCTGCCGAGATCCTAGCCAGCGGTGAAATGCGATGTGTGTCGGAAGTGGGGAAGAGGGAGGAGGAACACCGAGCCATCTTGGGGATATTCATGATCTCGAGACTCAGGGATGAGTCGCATAGATGAGATTGGATTAACATTGAAGATGCTGATAAAGTAAAAACGCGGGAGTTGCATCGGACTCAATCAGACGTGCAACTACCAAGGTACATCTAAGAGCTGTAAATCGAAATTGGTATTTCCTCAGTCTGCAAGTACAAGTCAAACAGGACTGTCTTCGCTATGCCATGAATTGTATCCGAGTGGTGGATCTCGCTGGTGTCGATTTGAGAAGACTTTCAACTGTCGTGAGGCCCTGTGGTAACAAACCAGGCACCTACTGCCGCAATCAACGGCTTTCCACAAGTTACCCGATTCGGACATGCCCGCGAAAACCAAATACAGCACAACATCACCAACAAAGCTAAAACCGAAGTGAACAGATGCTTCAGCGACCACACATTACATCTTGACCGTCAGATTGACCCTACCGTGATCTTTAAACGGAAATCATGTAGTCAGCTTTCTCTTGGGAGAAGATGGAAGGTGGGTAAAAAGTGTCCATCTCGACACCGTTCGAATCAGGCAAAATATCAATCAACAACCACCCTCACACAATTACACCCCAAAGTCGAACAAATCAATGAATTTCGCTTTTACCCCATCTAATCTACCCTACTAGCACCATCCATCCCATTCATTCATTCATCCATCCATCCATCCCAATAATAAAACTCGTCTCCATCCTCTAACAGATGCATGCCGAGCTCGATGGAGGCGTACAAGCGATGC